CAGATTTAAAACAAATAGTTCAATGACTTCCTACAGACTTTCTATGTCTTTGTTGCTGTTTTATTTACATTTATTTACTGGTAATGAAACCGCTTTTATGAATAAAGTTTTTGTTTTACGCGGTCGGGCAGTCGTAAGTCGTTATAATCCCACATTTTTTTATATAGGGAAGGTTCAATTTTTTCGTCAGATAATGAGTGGTCTTAATCATCAAAAATACTTGCTATGAGACCTGAACTGCGATTCTTTCGAATAAAAGTGTCCTGCTGGCAAATCTAGCACAACTGGCTGCCTCACAACGTGTCGCGGGATCAATTCCCGCACGGAACATCTCTTTGTGTGATCCAAAAATTGTTCTGGGTCTGGGTGTGATGTGTATGTGTAATTGTATGTTTCTAAACGCGCCCAAGACACAGAAAAGTATACCACTGTGTTATATGTCATCCTTTTTTTGTAAGGGGAAAATCATCAAATTACTTCTACCGCCCAGGGCCGGCGGGAGGGAGTGTCAGACTCTTACTGACTAAAAACCCCCCTGTTCCTTCTCCTGCTCCGGGCCGAGGTCGCGGTGCCTCATTGCGCTTACACCGCAAACCCGGCTGATGTCATCCTACGTTTAAAAAAAGGAACTTGCCTGGTGGCCCCAGCAGGTATATACCTATATGGCTGAAGTTGGAATAAGGTTTATAGTCAGTGAGTGTGAGGAAAATCATCAGGTGACTTCTGTCGCCCTGCGTGGGTTAAGAGGGGGTGTCAGACTCTTACTGACTAAAAACCACCCGGTTCCTTCTCCTGCTACAGGCCACGGCCGGCCACGGTAAATTAATTATTGCTTTTACGCTTAAAATTCCGGCTGACCCGCTCTGGGCCTGAGAAGTCGTTTGATGCTTTTCCATAATCACAAAAATAAGTGATGCCAGTCTCGTAGCTTATAACTTCAACAACAGCACGAAGTCGTGAAATGTACCCGATGTTCCTGTGGCAAATCTTCTGAATGTTATTTATAAGTAAACTAGCCGCCCCGACTTCGCACGGGTGTGATGATGCCAAATTTTGTAAAACGGATTTTGATAAGTTGCCGTTGCCTAGTTTTAAAGATTAAATCAAACATAGAAATATAGGGACAGAAAAAGCGACGTTTTATACCATGTAGTGATATTACCTATTTTATGTAGGTATGTAGCAGTCAGTAGATCTAAATCCAAATCCACTGCAATGAATTGAAGTTACCGAAAAAGCGACAGCCCTAATTACTTTCTTAGGAGAAAAGATAGATCATCTTTTTTGGTAAGAACACGCAATTAAACCTTTTTCGAGGTGATTAGGTCATGAGCTTGGCGAGGTTTCGACCTACATCAGTTGGCGATTTAGAAGGCGCTTATCTTCGATGTGGGGAATAAAAATAAACTAGCTTTTTGGGCTTCGCTGACCGGGCCGTAGAAGTGGGCCAGTTTTTGCGTACACAATGGTAATGGAAGCCGAGTTCCAACGATAATCCGGTTGACCTGTGGACATATGTCGGTTGTTGTGATAGGAAAATTTTTCTTTTTTTCTTTTTCGTATGCATAGTTTTGCATGCGGTGCTTTTGATTCTTTTTTGAAGTGTTGGCCTATTTCGTTTGATGCTCGTTTTGCGCTAGTTAGCTACCTGAGCTGCAGGTATGGAGTCAATGGACCGTAATGAGATAGCATAAGACCTTTGGCAATGTGTAATGCGTAGTAAGTAGGTACGTATGTAAATAATACATACTTAGATGCGACTTTTCCTTCTTAGTTACCATAGATAGGTAAGTAGGTATATCAAGTCTAACGGGCTACTGTTAAACGTTAAACCGTCACGCCAGACAATAGTTAGGTTCCTGCTATAACACGCTGTTATAGCAGCGGGAAGAACCCTCTTCGAGGAGTGGCTTGAGAGACGCAATGGCCATGGCATCCTCACTTTCAGATGCTTATCAGACACGGCAGCTTCGGTAGATTCCTGTTTCGGATCCGGCGGAAGGAAACGTCCGGGTGTCGTCATTGTACGGGTAGGTTCACGCCTCTTAGAGCCAATTAACCACCACAGACGGGGCCCAACATGGCCAATGCTTAGCCGGGGTCGCGGGTCAAACACAGTACCTAAGGTATTGCAACCGCAATTTATTTATTTATTATAAATACATAAATAAATAAATTGCAGTCTCGGCCTAGAGCAGAACAAGGATCAGGGCGTTTTATAGTGAGTACGACTACTCACTATAAAACGCCCACGAAACGAGTACAGTACTAGTCGTACTGACTATACTCTCTCGCCTCACCTTGGAGCGAGAGAAATCGTTTAATGATTTTCCACTCACGAACAAAACCCCAACTGAAAATATTTCCATTCATACTAAATAATTTTCGCTAGATCCAAGGCCTGCAAAGAATTCATTAAGGAGCATCACTTTTTCACTTTTTAACCGACAACAAAATAAAGGATAAATTATGTTACTCCGTGAAAGTATAAAGGTCACCAAGACCTGGACTGTTAGCACCGGCTATCTCAACCGAGAGCTAGGCTCGCTTTTACCGTAGCGATAAGACTTTTTTACGAGTAGCTAAAGACATGCCAGGCGCCGAAGATCCCTTTACCTTTCTCTTGACACAGATGTTTACGGAAGTTTTCTGTTTCGGATTCAACGAGTAGAAACGCCTGAGTGTCATCACAGCGAAGACCACCCCAAAGACAGGATGAAGCATGCCTATGCAGTGGGCCCTGGAACGGCCAGTAGCGACCTCTCACGCCCGACCTGGTTTAACATATGGTGCGGAGCGTGAGGAAATGCGAAGCCCATTTAAGGAGTTGACAAAGCTTAGGAGGCGGAGAGCGTGTTGAGATCCTTCTGACGCTCCATCCGTCACAGGAGAGACTTAATTTAATTTTGATGTTGATTGTACTTTTATAGGTAGGTTAATAGTAAGTAGGTATACATTAACGAACGGATACCTAAGCATAGACACCAGGTCACTGCACCGCTTATTGACATACGTACACTACTTAGGCAGTGCCCGCATTTGTAGAGTTCTAGGTATTTATTGCGTCCGCGTGTGTTTACTTGATTTTGTAGTGTCACTTCATTATGATTACTGTCAACTACGTACCTATGCGATTAATTTAGTATAGCATTGAAACAATAATGGGCTCCCTCGAACGAGACCATCGCTCTTGTACCTACGTAAATGGGGAGACATTAAAATTCGTAATATTAGTGGACTTAACATTCAGTTTGTAGCTCACTACTGACACCTACAGGAATTAAAAGGCGTGATATTACCGTACCAAAAAATATGTAACACAAATCAACGATAGCATTAAAATATAGCTTGGGCACAATATAAACGACATCTACTGCCATCTATCGGCGAATTGCAGAACTTTACATGTGCTTTTAATTTCGTAATATTAGAACACAGTAGGTAAATAAATGGTGGCTATTTTATATCCTTTTGCAGTAGTAAACTGTAATTACTTCAACTTATAACTTTACTTTCTACACCACACGACTATATGTACATATTTCATTGTAATACTCGAATAGGTACGTCGCTTGTGTACTAAGTATTGCAATCCAGTCGTATGCCCGGATGAAATTGTGAATTTAAAATTACAGACCTTGTTATAATCGCACTCCTTTCAGAACAGAAAAAGGAAGAGTGGCGAATGTAGCGTGCTCACTTCTGTATTCTTCCGGCCCTTTCTTGTGAAGCCAAAATTTTTTAGCTATGTCCTTTATTAGGATGCTTTCGTTAGTGCGGTTACAAACACACAATTTCACATACACACAAGTAGTTTTCAATTTTTCCTTTTAAAGTCAAAATCAATTAGACCTCAGTAGGCACTTTTGAACGTCAAGCAAAAAAAGGAAAAAAGTATTTCAAGAGCTTTAAAATTAAGCGTGTCAGTCTGTCCGTCTGTCCTCTAGTGAAGCTATTTGCTCGTTCCAAAGTGTAGATTCCTATGGAGAAGAAAATATCTGACAAACATGTCTATCTCACTAGACATAGGAAAGTCAGCCTTTATTTAGATAGGCAAAAGTGCGTAGTATCTAAGTCATTCGTGGGATTCTGGGTTATATATTAAAACAAAATCCCAGCCGAAATACAAAAATTATGAAAGAAAAATTTTAATTATGAACAAAGAAAACTTTATGTATACAAGCATACTACAAACTAAATGAATATAAACAAGATAAAAATTCTTGGAGACTAACTGGCTGGTCCTACTCCACAGGATTTTGAGAGGATTTTTTATTTCAATCATTAAATTGTACACTATGTTGTTAATATTGTTGAAGTTTTGGTAATTGCGAGTGCCCTGTAACCTATTAGACTTGTAGGATATAGGAACTTGCGTCAGCTGGGAGTTGTCCTGCTCCCTCAGAGGTCTCATTGGCGGTGGCACGGGCACTGCATCACTCGATTCCCTATAATATGGTTGAGTTGGGCGGTGCTGGTGTACGTGTCATGTTCGTAAACGGGAGCCGCCTATTGGTGTCGGGTTGAAAAATCTTCATGGAGACCCATCGCCCTCGGGGAAGGGCGAAGGGTACTGTCAGACTCTTACTGACTAAAAACCAACCCGGTGTTCCTCCACTTACCCATGTGTCGGAGGGGCGGGTATCGCCGAAGCATTCGTCGCAACCCCCCGACGGGTATTGGCCCGCCAGATGGTTTGGCGGGCCGTCACCCCGACCGCAGGACTCCACTATGAGGCGCGCGCGGAACACGGTGCCGCCGCCTCGAGGCCTGCTGCTGGTCGACGACAAGACGCCCCGAGTCTGTCGTCCACAGACCGAGCTTCTTCTTACTCTTTTTTTTTTTTTTTTTATGTGACTCAAACTTTCTCCTTCCATTCTTTATTAGGCTGTATTCATAAATAATTCGCCCTTATCAGATGTTAATAATTGTTTATTTCATACCATCATCTTAAAAATAATCATAAATGTAACAAAAATAAATACAAACAGGTATTAAAAGGCCGTTTTCCATTTGAAACATATCAATTTAATATGATTTCTATAAACATTACCTATTGTATAATTTATTAACCGAAATCTTACACTGAACATAATGTTACTCTCGCGTATAAAATGCTTTTGTGACTTTAGCGGGATGAAGGTATAAAAAAACTGTATATTTTGTGGTCTGTTTATTAAAAATGTATTATTATCCGTCTCCGGAGTATATCTGAGGTCGGTGTTGGTACGCCGACCTCTAACGTTTGAGCGGAATGGTGACTACTCGATGACCGTTTGTTCTTCTTTCACGAAAAATTCTACTACTTCTTCCACTGACGTTGCCGTCGAGTCTACGTCGATACCGTCTGTGTCAACGTCTGTGGGAGATACAAATAAGTTATTGTATGATGATATTTGTCTTGTTATCTGCACATCATTTTATTTTTATATGTATTCAATCTAAGGTATTTTTATGTCATCAATATACGTACAATTTCTGAGCTCAAGCCGGCGCGGCTTCTGCTCGTTCCATTCTTGCACCTTGGCCTCGCGGTATTCCATGTGCTTCTTCATCTGCTCAGTACGCTTGGCTACCAATTCCTAAAACACGAAACAATTTAAAAATGAAAATTGTTCTAATTAAAAATGGCATCATAAAATAAAATCTTGAAGATTTTGTGCAGAATTATAAACATTCCAACATCAGAAATTGTAAAAATTAGACATATAAGTATGTGTAAGTAAATACATGGTTTTAGTCGATAATTTACCTTGCTAGCCTTGCTACTGCGCATACGGTCCTTAGACTCGAACTGTGAGTAATATTTCTTAAGATTCTTCTTAATGTCCTTCTGTTGTTTCTCCGAGAGCAACGTCGGAGGCCTAGGCCGCCAATTGAACTGCGCGAAGCCCTCCTTCATTACCCTGAAAATAGATATTGTGAAACATAAAGCATCAGAATGCTGATTCTTCATTCATCACATATAACCACATACATCACAAACCGCCAATCATGAACCCACTTCTAACTCTAATGGTATTGTCAATGTCCACCCCTGTTCGACGCAGATTGGTGATTTGTCTGCTCATTTGTCGACAGAATACCTTAAGTTCATCTCAAAAGTAGATTCACAGTTACACGAAATTGTCAAGTTTAAAAAATATTGTGTAAATAATGATTCTTTTAACTTAAAGGGTGCGTAGCACATGGCATTATTGCGCCATAATTACGAACGCTAACTACATGTCTAATGGTGCATATACAGATGAGCTTTATCTTGTAGACCATATTTATTTATGATTATAATTACAATATTTTTAACAAAAGCTTAGGTGATAGCAAAGCAGTACATATTACTAACCTTCTCAATATTTTACCCTGGAAGGACCAGATGTAGTAACCAGTGTCGATCTTACTCTTGAGTGAAGACACGCCAGTCACTACGAAGCGGCCCGTCGGGTCCCATTCAATACCAGACATCTGAAGTAAAGGGTTTAGCATTAGCCATTTTTGTTTACATTGTCAACATTTATCAGTTGACTTGTTTACCTAAATATCATTATTTAGCTATTTATATATAAACATAACATATTTTTACTAACCTGGTAATGATCAGACACATTCATGATCGTGAAATCATTAGTGTCCAAGAATTCCAGGGCACCTCCGGTGAGTCCAAGGTTGGCAAGAACAATGAACTGTCCAGAAGGAGACCAGAACAAATGGTTGAAGGGCTGCCTCTCGAACTTCATCAACAAAGTTGGTGCCTGACCAGTGTTCACTTGATAGAAACTAATGCAGATGTTAGCAGGATCGCCATGAATAATCGCAAACTTAGAACCAACTGGTTCCCAAGCAAACGCTTGAATAGGTTCCTTAATTTCTACCGAGTCTACTGGGATCTCCTTTTCCCGCATGTGGAAAATTTCAAAGTTGTAATACATTCCTGAGTACTTGATTTCATTTTTGTCTTTCTTCACTTTGGAGTAACGGTCTACTTTCACACAGAGGTAGTCTCCACTCTTCTGCCAGTGGATTTTACAATCCGCTACTGAGAACAAGTTCTTGGAACGTATTTCAGTGCGGTTGGGGAGCTCTAGAAGTGTTACCCTAGCAGGTACATCTTTGTCTTCTGCTACCCAATACGCTACAGTGTTGTCTGTAGGTGACCAACTGAAGTCCCTGTAGACGGAAAAATAAAAAAGTGTTTAAAATTTATATTCTCAACTCGCAGCTTGATTCAGGCTTACATTACACACTATTCATATTGGAAAGTAATTTGGTGAAACAATTGTTTCCTGTTCAGCATGCACTTATTTTGCAGCCCAAATAAAACCAATTTGTGTAAACAAAAACACTATTGACACAGTAATAATAATAATAATAATAATAAATACACTTTATTGTACACCAAAAGAGTTGACATGCATAGTACAAAATGAGTGAATCCAAAGTACTGGGTACAAAGGCGGCCTTATCGCTAAAAGCGATCTCTACCAGGCAACCTTTAGGTGGACGGAGTATTGTAGTAGTGGGTGGCAGTCTAGGTGTAACAATAGAATTAAAAACATTAACAAGCTATATACAATATTCATGCATACATACATACATACACACATACTTACACATACATACATACATATATACATACATACATATATACATACATACATACATACATACATACATCAAAGATATACCTAACTATAATTATAGCGTGGCCAGATAATGTTCTTTCACGAGCGATTTGAAAGTGACAAGGGACTGTGCTTGTCTAATGGAGACTGGTAGAGCATTCCACAGTCGAACAGCTTGAACCGAAAAGGATTTGTCAAAGCACCTGCTCTCGTGCTGGGGCATCTCAAGCCTCAACCTCTCCGACGACCTTATTGGTCGAGAATGTGTGTCATGGTGGAACTTGAAACGTTCTTTAAGGTAAAAAGGGGTTGCAGGATTAAACAGTATATTGTATAAAAGGGATAATATATGAGTATTCCGGCGAAGGCGGATCGGCAGCCACTTGAGTTTTGCACGATATTCAGAAATATGGTCATATTTGCGTAATCCAAATATGAACCTGATGCAGAAATTTTGGAGTCGCTCAAGTTTATTTAACTGCATTTCGGTAAGATCTGGATAGCTGGCATCTGCATAATCAAGGATGGGAAGGAGAAGTGATTGGGCAAGCGCAATTTTAGTGGCTGTTGGAAGAAAATTTCGAAGTCTACGCAACGACTTAGCAGACGCAAACATTTTCCGACTGACGTGCCCCAGTTGAGGTCCCCAAGAAAAGTCTCGGTCTATAAGAATGCCTAAGTTTTTAACCGTGTCGCTGTATGGTATTGTGGTACCATTGAAGACAATCGGTGAGACGTGTGACCATGTGATTTTGCTGCGTAAACGAGGGCTACCGACAACAATGACTTGGGTTTTCGCCGGATTCACCTTGAGACCATAGGCCGTACTCCATTTCACGATTCGAGTCAAGTCGGTATTCATCATCTTGACCGCCTCGGAAAATTCACCCGGAGGTGCCTGTGAATAAATTTGCAGATCATCAGCATACAAGTGGTAGGAAGACAGAAGTTCTTCTGAGATAGAATTTATAAAAATAGCGAAGAGTAAAGGAGAAAGAACACCCCCCTGTGGTACGCCAGCAGCCGTATCTGACCAGGAGGAATAGGAACCCTCAATGGCGATCCGCTGCCGACGTCCACACAGGTAACTACGAAAAAAATCAATCACAGCTGGAGATATGCCAAGAGAGCCCAGTATTCCAAGCAGTATATCGAAATCGACGGTGTTAAAGGCGTTGCTAAAATCTAGTAAGGTCATTAGAGTTAGATTGCCGTTCTCAATACCAGATCGTATGTCATCCGTAATGTTTACTAGAGCTGTAGTAGTGCTATGTCCTGGACGAAATCCTGATTGGTAAGGGTTGAGGAGGCTGTGTTTGGTGAGGAAAGCACTAAGCTGGTTATAGATGAGGCGTTCCAAGACTTTAGAGAGGAAGGGTAAAATTGAGATGGGACGATAGTCGGAATGGGATTCAGGATTTGGTTTTTTTTGGGAGAGGTATAATCTCGGCTTCCTTCCATGCTGAAGGGAAAGCATGGCTGGTTAAGGAGTAGTTAAGGATGTGACAAATGACAGGAAGGATTTCGTCCAGGATAGGGAGTATCATCTTACGGCTGACACAGTCACTGCCAACCGCATTGGAACTGATGGAAACTATACTCTTCTTAACATCACATGCCGTGAGTTGATTAAAGAAAAAAGGAGAATAATCGGGAGAGGGAAGAGAAGAAAGATAGTTTAAAGTTGTAGACTTCATAAAGCCATTGATGTAGGGCGAAGAAGAAAAGTGTTGGTTAAGGGATTCAAGGTTTAGATTTTTAGATATATCATGCTGGCGCACTTTCCCAACTCCCATAGATTTGAGAAAAGTCCAAACTTTGGCTGGATCACCATTTTCTACAGACTTATGAATATGGCGGCGTTGAGCATCCCTACACATCTTGTTGCTACGATTTCGAGCTGCAATATACTTTTCACGATTCACAAGGTTGGGTAGGCGTTTAAACCTAGCCTTAGCTAGTGCTTTCTTGTGAATCGTGACCCTGATCTCTTCTGTCAACCACGGCGCTGGTACACGTTTTAATTTGACTGGACGTATCGGAGCATGGACGTCATACAACTCAATTAGTTTGGTATTGAAGAGATTGATTTTGTCATCAATATCCTCGGCGGCAAAAAGCTGTGACCAATCAATGTTGCCGGCATCCTCACGAAGCTTCTCATGGTTCATGCCACCAAAATTGCGCTGAAGGACTGTTTTATGTTTAAATTTAGGAGGACAGATTTTGTAGGAGAGGAAGATAAGATCATGATAGGAAAAATTATCAGCAGGACATTGTCCGTGCTTAACAACGTGTTGTTCCGACGAGACAAGTATGAGGTCAAGAAGAGAAGGAGAACAGTTAGGAAAATGGTGAGTGGCGCTTAAAGGAAGAAGAGACAAGTTGAAGGATTCAGCGATGGATTGAAGAGAAGAGGAGCGGGAATCTTGTTTTAGGAGGCAAGTGTTGAAGTCACCCATGATTATGCTATGACTATAAGATGGAGTAAAATTTAAGAGCAAATTTTCAAAGGAGGAAAAATAGTCGATGCGTAGGGAAGGGCAGTAATAGACACCTAGCAATACTCTGGAATGACGTAGGCTTAATTCCAAGAAAAGATGCTCGCCAGCGTTCTGCGGTGGCGGCTGTGGTGACATATCAATTATTCTAAAGGAAATGGTTGATCGGAGATATATGGCAACACCGCCACCACCGCAGCCCGTACGATCATTTCTTATCAGCTGGTATCCAGGTAAAGAGTAGGACGTGGAGGGAAGGCAAGGTTTTAACCAAGATTCAGATACAAGGATTGCATGAATATTCTTACAGTCAAGATTTGCCAGCATATCATGGTAATGAGCTGGAATACTTTGTGCATTTATATGGACAACATTAAGATTTTTCGGTACATCAAAGAAATGGGACTCAAGTGCATCAGCAAGAGAAGGTAAGCTGGAAAAGCTGTCATTGTCACTATTTGCAGAAAGAAAACTTTCATCATCACTTTGTGTTACGCTATTCATCAAATTAGTAACAAAAAAAATTAAATAGTAAATATTATGATAATTATACTATATATATATAAATAGATAAAAAAGTAATATCTATGTAGTTAAAATAAATATTTAATATGTGTGCAACCTATTCCAAGGTCCACCCGCCAGCTGCGTGTTACAATATGCTTGAGATTCTACTTTACGGTGCTTCGCTCGGGCAAAAGTCCTAAGGTGTATTAATAATAATAAACACAATGATGTGTTTTCAAATTAAGAGCAGAAAAGAAGAATAACAAGAAAGGGTATAGAGAAAATATAATAAAATCGAATAAAATAATATTTGACATCATCAGCATTGAAATTGTCTATGATTTCATAGACAATTCACGCCTCAGATGTATGATAACTTGAACGTTGCTAATCTTGACATTTGACGGCTTAACTGTCAAATGCCAGTAACAGTAAACAGAAAACAATCAGAATATAAAATAAAATAAAATAAATGTTGTTTCGGGTATAACGAAAAAATACAATAAGCAGTAATAGATACATATTGAAGGTACCGATTCTGGCTCAGACAAAGAAAATAAAAAGTGGATTTGTTACCCGAACGAAGCAAGTGCATAAAATCACTTTTTATTTGCACCGCGCTTCTTCCTCTGGACCACCGTGGGAGACCGCTCAGGGATTGTCGCAGGCTCGCCGATAGCTCGCAGATCACTAAGGCTGAGTAGGCGGTGCCTGGCGCCATCTGGTCCCAGGACATGAATGTGGCCCTGCTTAGTCCAGCAATTAGATACGCCAAATTTATCCCGCGCCGCCATGAAGACCTGGTGCCGTGCCTTTGTCAGGAATTCAGACAGTGTGATACCAGTGCCCTTCAGCTTGGTCTTGCTGTACCAAACCCTGTCCCGGATACCCATATCCTGCATTTTCACCAGTATGGGCCTTGGACGTGTCTTACTGGTGAGGCTGCCCACTCGGTGACACCTGCGTATATCAGAGGTAGTGAATGTGTCCATACTCAACTTGTCCTTGATAACATTGGCAACCACCACTGCAGTGATCTCCTTTGTGGTTTCAGGAACCCCGTGGAACAGTAGGATTTTTCTTCGGCCTCTCATCTCCAGTGCATCAAGGTCTCTGGCAAAAAACTCCATTTGCCGCTGAATACATTCAAGTGCGTCAAAAGTGAAACGCTTAAAGGCAGCATAGTCCTGCACCAGACCTGAAGAAGCACCACCAGATGCAACGGATGGTGTTTTGTTGAGATCCGCTTCAAATTTTGACATCCTTTCTCTGAATTCTGACCTCAACTCAGCCAGTGTTCCGTGCAGTGCCTCCATCTTCTTGATTGTAGGATTTAAAAGTGATGCAAACACACAAGCCAGCGGGTAGTGCCTTTCAGCAAGTATTTATTGTAAAATATTGATGTTTATACCAACAAAAATAAAGATATTGTTTATTTTTGGGAGAGACACTTTTCCCGCGTCTTTTACTTCCACCAGCAGAAGAAAAAAACAACAGTAACTTCAATTTCATACTTAACAACTATAAAAACAAGAACAAGGAAATTCGTTGCTACTTTTTTACATCAAAATGGCGGTTCTTACCTGATTCCTGGTATTTTAATGGACTTCTTGTCGAGCAGGCCGAAGCTAGGAGTCTCGTAAACAGAGAGCATATCCTGTCCAAGCCTGGCGAAGTACTTGTCGTCCTTGCTCCAACGGAACACGGGCCAGGTGACGTACTCGTCTGGTGGCGGGAAACTACGCTTTTCTAGACCCGTCCTGTGGAAAAGATAAAGATTTTACTAATAAGGCACATTATTGGGAAATTATACAGAATAATAGTAAAATAAATTTCAAACAAACCATTTTTTGAAGTGTGTATTGTAACTATAAGTATCTGCCTAAATTATCACCATAAACACATGAAAGTGCTCACTTTACAAAGAGAGGTCATGCCATGATCTCCATGCTTCCCAAGCTGATTAAAAATCGCATTATAAGCACTGAATGCTATCAATCTCCCATTAATATTTAGACCTTAATAGATATTTTATGGTACCCATGTTAGCCCATGATAAAAATAAGTTTGGCACCAAAGTAGTCATAGTATCTCAAGAACAACAGACATTAAATTTGTTGATAAAATATTCTTAGTAAAAATACTGTATTGATAGTAATTTAAATCACCTCAAGAACTTGTCTATCTAGTTCTATTCATGAGGCGATGCACTAGAAAGACCACATTAAAGGAGGCCACTCTCTAACACAAGTTTTTGTATACATTAATCTGTTGGTATTCTCGGGCGAAGTTTGCGCGTGGAATAAATAACAAACCTGTTTGCGTGAGTTGAAACCATTCATTGAACTTGAAAGCTAGGATTTTGAACTTGACTAAAATGTGTTACTAATTTGTTTTTTTTTTTTTTGCAGTTGTTGTTTTTAAGTATTGGTGAGTACTGAGTAACAACAGAAATACCAATTTATTTTATTTCAATTTAAGCCATGATAGTGCCACTACAAGGGAAAGGCCTTTATACCCTATCTATGCAAAGCTTTCTGCGTATCTATGTCTCAAGTGATAAGTTCATAATCAGACTAGCTTCAGTAATAAGTAAAAAGTAAACCACCCTAAAAATCACACTTGTTTATAGAATTACAAAATATACTGGCACCACACAGGGCTTCTTTTTACAAATGATTTCTTTGTGATAATAAATTAAAATTTTACCTAATATCCCAGATAATGAGTTTCTTGTCTTCGCCCCTGTCACCAGTCGGTGAGAATGTAACAATGTAGTTTTCACAGGGGGAGAAGGAGATGAACCGAGCTTCAGGGTGGAAGAACTTCTGGAACTGTGAGAACTTAGGGCCAGCCCATAGGGCGACACCCTTCCAGTGGAACGTCGCTAAGTACGTTCCCAATGGCGACCACACGGCGTATGTCTCCGTCCAGTTCTGGTAAAACAATTGATTGTGTCAAAAACACTTACATATGCATACTAATACAATATATAAAGATATTGTTTATAAGATAAATAATAAATTATACATTTCAAAATCTATTTTCAACTTAAGATGCTTACTTCACTTAAAATATCTTAGCCATAATATACATTCATTGATGTCTTTATCGAAAAATAAATCTTACAATACATATAAATACTGTTAAAAATAATAAAACAGCAAAACAACTTACAGGTCTCTCCTGCAGTAAAGCTGGCTCTGGCAGTGCATTCTGCCACACCTGGAGCGCCACTCCGGTACCAATGCCAACCAAGAACTGGTCATATGCATCAGGATCCATCAAATACCATTGTAGGTCTGATTGAACCTTGAATGGCTGAGGTGCTGGTGGCTCCCATTCCTTAGGGATATCTGAATACCTAACAAAAAATAAATTAATTGTTAATAAACAAATATTGTGTTTATTTTGTAATTATGTCACTGTTCACAAAGCAGGAACCCACCAAGAGGCATATTTGATTCATCAGACAGGGAAATGGATAATTCATTGGAAAACTATGTTTTGAATGCAATTTGTAGCAAAACATTATTTTGTCTATATGAATAATTACACAATAACCATTGCATGGTAAATTTTCATGGAGATGTTATCTTAAACATTACATGGACAGTGTTGCATTGCCAAACTAGGTATACTATACTTAACATTTATAAATGTTTAAAACAAGCAATTCGGCTCAGCAACATTAAAATATGATGTTCAATTATCTCAAGTGAAAATATTACAACAGGAAAACATGAATATTATAACTAAGGGCTTGTGAGAATTTCCACAGCCAAGAGCTCAATGAAATTCAAAACAACCTTGAATAATTAGCGCCAAAATTTTACTGTAAAGATAACTTTCTACTTACTTCTTAAAGTCAGTGAACAAATTCACCAAGAATGTGTGCTGCTTATCTAATTTACAGTTATTTGTTGCCTTCACAGCTTCAGCGGCGTTCTGAGGGTTGCTGTACTCCAAGAAAATGTAACCAGTCGTGGTTCCATTCTCGGTAGTCGGATAATACTCGTTGACGATCTTCCCGAATTTACTAAATATCTTGTTTATGACACTCTGGAGCTTTTCCAGTCGTTCAGGTCCGACCTGCGGGCACCCGTCGACCACGACCACGTTCTCATAACTGTCAGATTCCTTCGGTTTCTGCTCTAAAAGGTCGGCCAACAACTCTGCAACGTCAAAGTTAGGTTAGGTTTTTACGACTTTAACGACACTGAAAAACTCACTGTTGAAGTTCATATTATTAACAAGTTACACTTCCTAACACACACTGAGCTTGACAATTACTTTAAAAATAGCAATAACATGAATGAAAAGTTGTAAAATGCGTAGGTGACGCATATGGCCGGTCAAACTTGTCACTGAAAAATGCCCACCTTCGTCGGGAATATCGTCAACAAAACCTTCTGGATCGTCGAAGTCGGGCTCCTCGTCAAAATTTGGCTCTTCATTATCACTTTGAGGTTGTGGGTTCACTTTCTCGTCTCCTTTTTTCTTAGCCATTTTGACGATATAACGTGTGTAACAGGAAGACACGCCATTAGTGACTGAGCATAGAGAACGATTTTTTTACTTTCACTCGCAAGTCAAGAATTTACGTTTAGTTACCAACAAAAAAAAGATTACAACAACATAATATGTTTTTTTAACTAGTGAAGTACTGAATTCAACCCTTTATGAAATTAATATTATACTTGTCACTTTATTTTATGAATCATAATCACCCACAAGTTAAGTTTTAGTAAAAAAATATATTTCAAAACTTCTTCTTTTGTCAGCGAACATAACGTCCTATGACATCAGAAAATCCATAGACAGTATAGCAAGGCGCGAAAAGACGAAGTTTTAAATAAAAAAATAACTTGTTTTCAGACTGTGGAATAAAGATTTGTTTGGATTATGCAAGTACAAAGTGACTCAATTATAGGCTCATCCCATCTATAGACCATCCGAAACGTCAAGCCGAAGAGCCAGAGGGATCCCTATGGATTAGGGCATTAGGAATTTAACCCAACTACGGAACCCTACTATGACATAATTATGTATTTTAAGATAACCTAGGTATTATTATGATATGATATAATTATTTTGAAAATTAAACACTATCCCCCTTATTACAAAACAAGATTTATCTTTAGTCCAGGTTTAAACCATTGAGTCGGGTTTTGAATTATTGTCATCTACCTTCAATTCGAAATACAAAACTGGCTCAATGGTTTAGTCCTAGAAGTAAAACCTTGTTTTGTAATAAAACCGTAACTTTAATACTATAGAACCAAAGGAGATTGAAATATTTCTCTCATGTGAAAGAAATAAAAGTGCATTAACAACTCATGTCATGTCAAGTTACCATGACAAAGGGTTTAGTCCTGTAGGACATTCACAGAGTACTATAATATAAAAACATTATTTATTGATAAAATAACAGATAGAGGTCTGGTATCTAAGAAAAATCATAAAAATGTAGGCTGTAGGTCGTAGTTTGGTTTTTAATATGGAGAGCTCCTTTAAAATATGTATTTAATATTCAATAAATATTAATTACTAGGTATAGCTTTTCAATAAATTTCATTTCCGCCTATTGATAGGACATATTGACCCATATTTATCTTATAAAATAGACAAAAACTTAGTCTAAACATAATTTAAAGCAAGCAAACACTTTTAAAATACCTACGTATTTACAGACAGTAAAAGCATTCGTATTTAAAACCGAACATTTTTAATTAGTTAAAACAGCACGACATCTCGTACAAACTCCGTAACAGATGAGGTGGCATTTATGGACGGGTGACGGGTCACCGCACATGAAAATTGAGGTCACGCCGCCGCATGCACCGACCGACTGCGGGACAGGACTGTGTATAGGTGTGTTTAACTAGCTGTATAATGGCTGTATGCCTGTATACGAAGTCTTGTAGTAACTGTTACAATAATGCGTATACGCGAAGGTATGCTTTACGAACGTGATTCGATTAATTGACATAAAATGTCTCGTTTCCAACGATCTTGCTGACTCGACTAGACATTTTTGTAGAGAAATGTTGCCGGAAATGTATGACTGTTAGGCAGATTATTTATGCTGTTGTTGTGAGTTATCTCACGTATTGGTAATGGATTATTTTTATTTTGAACACGCTTTTTTTCAAAGAAAAGTTGCCCCGCACTAGGATTTTCGGTGTAGGTGCGGTTACAAACATACAATTTCACATACACATGACACCCAGACCTTGGGTAGTTTCCAAGCACAAAAATAAAATAATTCGACGTTTCAATACAATAAAATATTTAAAAATAACTAAGTACTTTTATTCATCGATCGATCTATACACTAACACCCGGTTTCTGAAAGGCTTGTCAACGCAAAAATTAACTAATCTCCTGTTAAATCTCTTGTCAAGTCATCTGATTGGTTGTTGATAATGCAGTCAACTAATCAGATGACTTGACAAGAGATTAAATTGATTTTAACTTTGATCGGCCTTTCGGAAACCGGGTGTAAGTTTTAGATAGTTTGTAGCTGACTATTAAGAAATAAGTAAGCAAGCAGAAATATTTAACGCAAAAATGCTATGACGTCATAACCCAGTTTTTCATACAAATTTCATTGAAAAGTCTCTATCGTTTTTGACGTTTAGATAAAAGTATTTAATTTGGCTAGTTGTAAACTACAGTATTTGTGGATCACACCAAGAGTTATTTAATCGAACCCGCGACACGTTGAACGGCATCCAGTTTCCCAGACCCCGCACCAACCGTGCAGACAAAAAAAATTATTAATTACCTATATAAAACTTGAGGTGTACGAAAATACTTATTTCTTACTTAGTAAATAAATCGAATGGTGAAGACTGTTCCCTTGTATTATTTAACTTTGGTAGAGCTATGTATTTATATATTTTTTTCAAATTATCTAGTAGGTACCTATCTTTTTTTGTCAGGGGAAAATCATCAAATTGTTTCTCCTGCCCAGGGTAGGACGAGGGAGTGTGTCAGACTCTTACTGACTAAAAACCCCCCGTTCCTTCTCCTGCTCTGAGCCGAGGTCGCGGTGACTCATAGAATAGGTACCTACCCACGGATGTAAAACAATTTATAAAAACAAATGTAAGTAGATTACCTACCGATCACAATTTGTGGTGTGTGGTTGGTAAAATTATATACGAAAGCCATTACTACGGACATATCTACCGTTATATCTACTTGAAAGACAACTTCAAAAACTTGTAACTTGTCTTGATAAAGTATCTGATACTTACTACAACATTTTTTCACATGTTTACTTCCTCATCAACTTTTCTCAAACTTAAAGAGGTTTTAATGTAATAAATTACCTGTAGTTTACTGTGTCTTACCTTCCATTAACATCTGTCTGATGTAGGTACCTAAATAAAATTAAAATGGAACGATACGTCTTCAGAGAGCCAATTTACTTACTTCGTTGTCTAAAAATATAAAGCCATTATGTACCCAGCATCTTGCATTCCTTAATGAGAAAAGTAATCCCTTTATCAGAGTATTTCATAACGCTTATCTCGAGCTTAAGTATGTAGAGTCGAGCTTGCCGCCATCACTTTCTACGTGCACCGGGCTCCAAGCTTCGTGCAAGTAGGTCGGTACGGCAAAGGTTTTAATACTTAGGTACTTCGCGTCTTTCGTCACAGACGGTGCCATTGACCGATGTTGATTGTGGTTTGTATTGTGATTACTATGTTTGTTCTTTTCTAACTGGACTTTTTTGCTATGTTAAGCTCGTATTGTGTGAAGTTAAGAAGTTGACATTAGTATTTCTTAAGTGTAGGTGACTACATAGGTACGTATAAATAAGTAGGTTACATATCTATTGAATAAAGTACCTATTCAATTTAGAATTGCAGAACACTTGTTTTTCCCATTGATCTTGATTCCGGAAAATCCAAACAACGTTTGCAATTTGTCTATGTTCGAGCACTCATGAATAAAATAATATCATGAACCATTATCATAAACATTTTTAAGAAACAAATACAACATATATACAAACACTGAAAACAGAAAACCTTTTTCTTTTTTTTTTTTTTTTGTGGTACTTAGACTTACCTACCTACGCCCTATCTAATATTTACTTAGGTACAACCTGGGTTTCGCACGGATGCAATGCTGATAGGTAGGTACTACATTTCTTCACTATTCAATGGATTTAATTATTCTCATAAACTTCCCTCTTCAATCGCTCTATTTAAAAAAAACCGAATCAAAATCATTTGCATGGTAGGGTTATAGGGTCGGAGAATGCGACTTTGTTTTATAGTAGATATCTACGTATGTAGATAGTGATGCCTCATAGTTTTACGGCGGACAAGGTACACATGTTATTATTTGCACCTCCACAACAAACACAGCAATAAACCCAGTGATTAATGCTAGCATAAAACTACGCAAACGCGTCTTTGAACATTCTTCATTAATATTAGTCAAATTCTGTCGGCTGTCAGGTACCTAAATACTGTGTTACTTTGACTAGTCTATAATAAATTTTAATTAATTATGGAATACTCTTAGTTCTTCAATTCATAATTTTTACCAATAAAATGTAAGAAGCCAGCAATTGAAAAAAGAATTGGTAATTGAAACTCGAATCTTTAAAAAAGGAACACTAAGTACCAGTACCTAGTCTCCATTTAATCTGACTCTTGTACCAGAAAATCAAAAAAGAAATTTAGTTAATTTGTACCTATACATATGTTTACCCAATACATATTATAATAGAATACCTATATAACTTACCTACCTACATATTTACCTAAGTATGTAGGTACATTTCTATATGCACGAACAAATTGATGCAAATGATTGCAATGCACTAGTGAATGATGAATAGACAGTGTAAAAACCAATGATGTATAAAACTAATACGTCATTGGTAAAAACAATGATGCGTAACATAGAAATGTTCCCATACGATAATTCTCTCGGAACAATCAAATAATAAGACAAACGACCAGAAAATAGGGCGTACGGTTTAGGTACGTCATTTTCTTACGGTGTTCTTGGGATTGGCTCGGAAAACTGAGAACTGAAGCAGAATTTATTGGAAATGAACTCGACAACAAATGAACAAGATCTCGGAAAGGACTCCAACGATTTGGATGAAAGTTTTCATATAGGTAAAGGTTTTTAACTAATAATCTAGTAAAGTTCCATTACCTACCAAAAAAATCAAGCAACGCTTGGTCATTCTGGTACTGATAGCTATTGTAAGTAAATCTACAGAAAGGAATATACGCACCGAACTGAAAATTGAAATTTAAAAAAATACCGGAACGACTTTATTCTATTTGACAGCCTAAATGCATATAAGTATAGGTATGATACGAACCTTATAATGATCAATTAATTCTTCGGAATGAATTTTATTTAATTAGAGTTATGTCCATAGTTTTCATAACGAGTAGGTACAAGCATAGCACCCGTCTTTCGTTTTAGATTACCTCACATGTTATTTTCTCAACAAAACCGTGATGTCATCCATGTTTCTACTGGACAAAGCGTGACACAAAAACTATCTATAGTCCCTTAATCGATACGTACCTCTACAGTATAGGATTATTCAGAGAATGGTCTAGAAAAATATTAAAATTTGCAAAATTACCGTACTCAAATTACCTATACTTAATTTATCAGATAAATGAATGGATATACTACATAATACGTTCCTACCTATGAAAGTATTATCAAAATTAACGAGAACTGAGAGTTAAGTAACAGTTTACAATACTTGCAAATAAAAATAAATTTTGAATAAATTCCTAACTGTTCGACATCCGGATGTAGAGATGTACCTATAGAGGCCTAATTGCATAGATACTTGGATACTTCCTATCAAATCTAATTGCGAAACTTATTGAATACACATACCTACTTACTATGTACATATATACCTACACATATGTAGGTATACACACGTATATAATAATATATAACTTAACAATTGCATACTCTAGCATGCTAATTCAGCTGTATAAACATATATTGTCAGTAGAAAACGGAAAAGTCAATTGTTTCAACTTAATTAAACTGTATAACTAAAATTATTATGTGTGACTCTTAGATGTTACTTCAACTTAATTCAATATGAGTGCATATGTTCTGAGGTTGTAAGCACACAACGCACGAGGGCCCATAGTTGTGAAGCAACCGTGGCATTCGCTCTTCTATTCGGATACCAAGCCCAGTCCAGTCAGTGCCTCCGCCATTGCGTCCGCGGGCCGCCGCGTTTCCCGCGTAACCGAACCACAGACAACATAGTGTTTCCCGAATATTCCCGCGCTAAGGTAATAGTGTAGTACCGTTTTAATTATTTTGTGTTAAATACTTTTTTGTGAAGTGTTCGAGTGTGCCACATTAGTGCAGGTTCACGCGCACGCGGATTGATGCTTTTGTTATTTGTTTGCTTTGAGTTTGGAGTTTGTGTTCAATTTTTTTTTCGTTGTAGGTATACCTATAAGTACGTTTGTACTCACCGAAATAAAGGTGGGTAGAGATACTTACAAAAGGTTCATAATATTATGTATATATATTTTTTTTTGCATGTTATCGGGCATATTAATAATTGGGTAGTTTCCTAGGTCAAAAATAAATTAATTCGACGTTTTAATACGATAAAATATTGAAAAATAACTATACTTTTATTCATCGATCGATCGATACACTAAGTTTTAGATATTTTTTAGCTAATTTCTTAAAAATAAGTAAGCTATTTGACGCAAAAATGCTATGACGTCATAATTCAATGTTTCATACAATTTTCATAGAAAAGTATCGTTTTTGACATTTGGATAAAAGTATTGAATTTGACTAGTTGGAAACAACCGTATTGTAATTATACTTTTCGCTTGATCTAAAAATGTTATTGAAAATAGCCGGTAAGGAGGCGGAACTACAGGTACATACACACAGTCTGTGGGTACATACGCGTACAGAAATTTAAAAAATATAAGTGCATGTGTACTCTCACATACCTATTAATAGATACACTATAATTTCCAGTTGTTTATACTAGGCAAGTTGAATTAATATTATACAAAGATATTTGAGTAGGTAGAGATAGGTACCGATGTATAACTAGTTGAGCAACTTTTTTTATATAAATAACGATCTTACGAGTCTTCTAATAGTTATCATAGTACGACTGACACATGAGATGATTTTCATTTGCAATTCAAAGTATTGTCGGTACCTAGTATGTAGACAAGTATAATACTTAGTGCATAACCCATAAAATTAAAAAATATTTACATATTTTATAAGTAACGCTTTAACACGTGGAGTACCTAATGCAATTAAGTTTTTGTTATTAACATAGTACAATATGGGTACCTAGGTACCTACCCATAGCTAAGAATTGAAAAGCCATAAACTTGATAAGTACTAGGTACATTCAAAAAGGTCGTTAAAAAATCATGGTGGCCCGGAGGTTAAGCAGTCCGCTTCTCATGCATGAGGGTGTAGGTTGGAAACCTGGCAAGTACCAATGTGACTTTTTCTGAGTTATATGTACTTTCTATGATTATTTAGACGCCACTGACATACGGTGAAGGTAAGCATCGTGAGGAAATCTGGACTTATAATTTCTAATTATAAATTTGAAATCGCCAACCCGCATTCAGAAAACCTGGTGATTAATGCTCGAACCTTCTCCGTGTGAGAAGGCCTTTGCTCAGCAGTGGGCACTTATGGGCTGATGACAGGCCGTTTTTATTAAAATGTTCATAAGTGTACATTGCATATTTGTAATCCCATATTTTATTTTTATATCTCATGCCGACAGGTAGGTTACAATTACCTCGTTAGTACACATTACATACCAAATTCTCTCATTAGGTACTTACTCATAAGTATATAAAAAAAATACCCGTATGTAGGTAAATTAAATAATGAACTTATCGCTAATTTGGCAATTAGTCCGATATAAAAGGGGGCGTATCGCCATATCATTCGCCAATTCTTCTTCCCCTCCCTCTATCCCTCCCGAACCCCTATATCTTCGAAACCCTAATCCTTAAAAAACCGGCAACTTACTCGTAACTCCTTTGATGTTACGAGTGTCCATGGGAGGAGCCGATCGCTTACCATCAGGTTACCCAGGTGCTCGGTATCCGTCCTACATCGTTCTACTCTACATCAAGCAAGCAAAAGCGTAAAATCACCTAATGTTTCCCGGGTTTTTTAACAGTTGCGCTTAAAGCGATAGCTCGACTTAAATACGCAAATCAATTATAATTTGTAGCCTATAGCACTCAGGAACTTTGTAGCTCTAAAATCTTTGGAAATCCGACCTGCTGCGGTTCCAAAGTTTTACCCCCTACGTATAAAGGTACTTTTACCTCTTTAGATATAGGAGGAGGTCATCATAACTTATGTAGGGGGTGACTGTTATCGGTTTTACCATAAACTTTTCTGGCTTAGTTTAGATTTTGGTCATTTCAAAGTTTTGGCTCGCTTTAGGATACTTACTTACTATTTTCACCAGAAATTTTTCAAATTTTTCTTTCATACTTACCTTGCGTCGGGAATGTCCTGTCAAAATTAAGGAAAAGTTATGTCCAATTTGGTGCAGTCATTTAGGTGTTTAGAGCGTACAAATATCAGTGTTATCAAATTTTTATTAAGTAAACCTATTTTTAATTGTGTTTTTTTCGCATTGTCTAGAAGATGAGGTGTTTTTTCCTACTATTGGCGCTGGCCTTCGTCAGTGGAGAGGAGACCTGTCTCTCAGTGCAGGACGACCCTTACTTCCTGTTCGGCACGAAGACTGCTTACATCTTCGCTAACAAGGACATCCCTACTGCAAGAACCCATGATATACCTGGTAAGTTGTAAAAACATATTATTATAACAAATTAAGTACTTACCTATATTAATACAATTGTACACAAAACTGACAATATGAGAGTGAAACACGGCAGGATAGTGACAACAAACGAGATTATAAAAAATAAGTATGCAATATGTGGGAGAGCCATGCTTTGGCACGAATGGGTCGGCTCGACCGGAGTGATACCACGGCCTCACAGAAAACCGGCGTGAAATAACCACTGCGTTGTGTTTCGCCGTGTGAGTGAGGTTACCGGAGGCCCAATCCTTCCCCTTCCCCAATCCCTCCTCAATCCCTAAATCTCCAAATCCCTAATCCCTAAAAGGTCGGCAACGCACTCGTAACTCCTCCGTTGCGAGTGTCCATGGGCGGCGCTGATTGCTTACCATCAGGTAATCCGTCTGCTCGTTTGCCGACCTATTACATAAAAAAAAAATCAATTGATTTTTTTTATTACGCTACCTAATACTTCTTGCACAAATATGGTTGGAAACAAACTAAATGTGAAAGTCCCTACTTTATTACAATGAAATGGTCGTCAATATTAATATCTTTTATCTAGCGTCTAGCTAGGTATAATTGTGTGACTCATTACAATGCAGATCACAAACTATGCGTCAAGTTAAGGTCATTTGTCGTGCCGTGTCGGCAATTCTTCCATACGGATGATAAGGGCATTCTATCGTGCATGGATTACATTTGTTATTATGTCGAGTAGCCGTATTACCTGATGGTAAACAAACAGCGCCGCCCATGGACAATCGTAGTACCAAAGGAGTCACGATAAGTGCGTTGCAGGCCTCTTGTGGGTCATTAGGGATTTGAGGATTGAGGATGGGGCAGGGAAGAATTGGGCCTCTGATAACCTCAGTAACACGGCGAAACAACGTAAACATCGCTTCACGTCGGTTTTGTGTGAGGCCGTGTTATCATTCTGGTCGAGCTGGCCATTTTCTAATTTGTCAGAAAACCTAAAACATAAAACGCACTTATAAGAATCAAAGACAAGCTCATCATCATTCATGGATATAATATTAAAGTTGGTACCTAATACCATAGAACAGAAGACTTTAATAATGTAAACGAAGACCTATTGGAGTCAGTTAGGCGCTGTATTTAATTTCCTTCAATATCTACTTTTATACAAACAAATGGAAAATAAGAAAAAAATAAACAAAATAAACTTATTTACTATGTACATAAATAAAAACGTAAGATATTAATCATATTTGATTAAATCTACATAGATGTGTTGATGATTGATCGCTGTCATTAATGTTAAATAAATAAATGGCACTCAGAAAAATTGACAAGAGAAAAACACCTAACGGAAAATATATAATGATCATTGGTTAGGTACCGTGAAAATATTATTAGATTATATTTTTATTAAAACCTTCTAGAGTTAAACTCCATTCAAAGATTGTCTGGAATAAATTGCTTTTTAACAATAGGACAGCCAATATTAGTGTAGGTTGTTTCCTTTTTTTGTCATAATAGTGTCTAAATAACTAAAAAAGTTATCTTCATATTTATCAAAGCAAAAACAACCTGTAGAACCGTGGATTTTGAACTATCCCTAACCATGTATCTTTGTCGAGCGATTGAAAAAGAGAGAAGAGAGAGTTTAAAACTGTTTGTAAAAGAGTACCTAAACATGGAGTTTCTAGCTGCTCCATAGGAAACTACATGGAATGAGCAAATAGCTTCACTAGAGGACTGACCTACAGACTGACACTATTCATCTTTAGGCTTTCTTTGCACTTCAAAAGTAAGGGTCTAATTGAATAAGTAATTTTGACTTTTGATTTATAATTTATAGAATCAGGCGTTACTCTGCGGCAATCAATGACATTAAATATATCAAAATATAATTGTTCTTCAAACTCTTAAAATAATTAGTTGCAGTCATAACTTTTACTAGAACCTAATCTGCACTTAGCTAAGCCACAGACCTCAGAAAGACTTGCTTGTATTATATTGATTGAATTTTCTATTGGATCGGTTACGCATTGAGAGAAATAACGGCATCCTCTAGTGTAAACTACGGAGCCAAGTCATTTCACAATACACATCGATAGTCGAGTCAATATTATTTCGCTTGTGTTCGAAATTCAAGACATTGATTCGCCCGTTATTATTAAAATCCGCTCTGAAACGAACACATTGTGTTTTTGTTGAGTAAAAACTTTTTTTATAGTAACTGAAGTAAAAAAACAAAATTTGGTAATCCATTTTTGATTATTATTCCAAAGTCAAAACTCCAATGCAAGTTTATTGCTAATTGCATAGAACTAAATAAAGCAATTATTGACATATGTGGGCTTGGCTGGCAGTGGTTGGAACTTGGATGAGAAGAACTGAACATCGAGCCTATTGGTCTATGTCCAGCAGTGGACGAAATCAGGCTGATGATGATGATGGTCTTTACTTCTAAACAATACGTTAGGTATGGTATAGGTAATATAAACGTGCGTTAAGTTTATTGATGACAATTTTTGTTCCACGTTCTCTTCAAGAAAATGGTATCATGTATCTATATGAGTACGTGTCTGTAGAGGCATACAAAAGGGCCATATTGACAAAAATCCAAATATTACCTAATCAAACTCAGTGAATCATAAAAATTAATATAAAACTTTCATAATACATATCAGTACAAAACGGAACCAATCATCTTGAGTTCTAATAAAGTACTTTCTTAATCTTTCTATTAGCCACGATATCTAAATTGACACCTGGACTTCTCCCACCACTTCCTCCTTACAATTCCTACCCGCCTTGATAATTAATCTTCACGCATCGATGCTGCACATAAATCCTACAATTAAGTCGGTAGCTTTGTTCTCAAGTCTAGATAGCTAGACCTCGTGTGATAGGACTATTTAACTAATTGTAGCCTGCATGAGTGTAGGCACTTAGCCAGGCAGGCGTGACATTGTGAATTCAGCGTATATTTAATCTAGGTTAATGCTTAGTAGGGACCTAATTGTATTAGAAGCTACGCTAGATTTTTATCTAAAAGACTGAATTAGACCTGTTTTATGGATTAGTGGATAAATGGATGGATGTTTGTTATTCTTTTACGTCGTATGGGTCGTATGGTCGTCGAATGGGTCGGCTCGACCGGAGTGATACCACGGCCTCACAGAATACCGGCGTGAAACAACCACAGCGTTGTGTTTCGCCATGTGAGTCAGGTTACCGGAGGCCCAATCCCGCCCCTTCCCCTATCGCTTCCCGATCCTTATATCCGCAAACCCTATCCCCAAAAGGCCGGTTTGCCGACATATACCACAAAAAAACGTAAAAGCTGTTGGATAGATGTTGATAACGTTGGGCACAAAGATGGTTCATAAGTAGTCTAGAATAAAACATTGTCGCATCAAAATAACGCGGACGAAGCCGCTGGTGAAAGCTAGTAGGTTATAAAACACAGTCTTGACAGTCTACCGTTGACCTGTATATGGCCTTTGAATAGATTTGTCAGATGAAAAAAGATTCAGGTTTGTTAGAAGCACTACTGCTTCCTGGATTTTGCTTTAAACTGCATATAGAAACTTCACTATATCTTTACTTACTGCAGTAATAAATGTGCCAATACTCTATCGTTAAGCTTGCAAATTTCTCAGCTTTCTTCCTAGTTTCTTGCTACTTTCTCTGACGATAAGAAACAATCAAGTTGTAGTTACAAGTACCTAAGTATATGCCTACGTTGACTTATTACCATTTTTCTCTCGACAGACCAGTTCAATACTGGAACATTCACCCCAGTAACACAATATGAGATTTATTCACACGTTCGGTACGCGTATTGTATAACAATGCATTTCACGAACAAAAACATAGTACATTAGTACGTTAACCCGCCATCCATCGCGGCTATCATCGCCTTGTTCATTTACAATTATCATAATAAAATCATTGTCCGCAAAAAAAAACAGAAATTTCTGTATGAAACGGCAAACGTTTTAAGTATTTTTTGTAGATGTATCTAAGAACAATGCATTACCTATTTGTGTACCTCTTTTTTAAAATGTCAAAAACCAATGATATTTTAAGTAAAATGGTGTATAGATACATAAACAACATTCGATTACATAAACAACATTCGATTTTCAAAAACGGCACACTGATACACACATGAACAATTCGTATGATTAGACGTCAAAGTGGGATGGCATGATGCAATAATCACGAGTGAAAAAGAGACAAATATGAAAAAGTTTGGCTAGTTAGCCACATTTTAATGGATCGCTTGCTGAGCGCTTATGAATGACCTATCTACACCTTTTTACTTATTATATCATTATCAAAAATGATAATTTTCTTAGAATATTATACATCGTAATATTTTAACGTCAAATTACCTTAGCAAATAACATAATTACTTAGTAAACACGGATATTAAGTAAGTATACTATTTAAAATAAAGTTAATAAGGAATGCAGGTGTGATTATTTGTGGGTTTTTTATAATTTTATACGTGGACATGTTTAATTTCTTTTGACTTAGTAAACAAGCTTCCAAAAAGCCAACGACAAAACACGATGTTTATTAACCAATTTTGACAATAGTTTTATCTACATAATACTATATACTGTACCTAAGTACTAATGTAAACTTTGCATACAAAATCAAATATTCATTATTAGTATCCGTGAATTCCATGATTACCTAGTATTTACTGTCCAGCCAAAACATTTTGCAAGTTTCCACCTCAATTACCGAATCGCAAATTGTTTCCGATGCCTTTAATCTTGTACCACTGTTTATTGATACTGTGTCACAGTTTTCTGTATCATTGTGAAAATGACGCGATGCCCTATTTTAAATTTTAATCTGTTTCTAATATTTGGAGCTGATCCAAGAACGTCACCACGTCCATTGCCGAGGAACGATGGGTCTTTGGGAATTAACTTGCCGTGAACAGTTTACCTAGAACGCATAAACATTTTCGATAATAGTGTTACTGCAAGAAACGTCTATGATACTTGAATTCTTACAGATGACAAGCTAGTTTTTTTGGTGCGATGGTCAGCATTAGGACACCTGAAACAAAGAGGGGAAACGATTAGGGTTTCGGAACTTTAGGGATCGAGAATAAATTGGACTTTTTTCTGACAGGACAGTTTTCTGTGAGGCCATATCACTCACTCACAATAGTGCCGAAGCATGGCTCTCCCATACTATATAGCTTAGTCAAAATAAAACATTGTGTTCTAAATATCAAGTTTGAAATCATTTTTCCGACGAAAGAAGTCTCGTTAATTTATCATTGTCTGCTTCTATCACCTCATCCTCATATTTCAATAACATAACAAAGAACTAATCCTTAAAAGAGGTTTTACCTACAGTTTATTCCATAACTTGTTCCGAGTTAACTAGCTGGGAAAGGCCAATCTATCTAGCTAAGTTTACACCACAACCGATGCTCTGCGGGATGACAGTGGGGTGTGGACGTAGGTACCTACTTTATATGACACACTTTTCCAAGCTATTCTTAACTACAGTACATGAAGGGAGCTTTTGTTTCAAGAAAACCATTATGTGTCTAGACACAAAGAGTAGGAAAGACTTAGTATAAATAGGGCAGTGTGTTGAAAGGATCTGGACTCGAGATTCTTCTTTTATTCTTATGCTTGCACTAACATACTTCAGGCAGGGTTGCGGAACAAGCGCAATAAGACACCGCGGCCTCGGCCTAAAGCAAGAAAACGAACGGTGGTGTTCAATCAGTAAAAATCTGACACTCTCTCTCGCCTCACCCTGGGCCAGATTAGTCATTTGATGATCTTTCTCTCAGAAGAAAAGGATTAAATTACTTCTTAATTGCATTTCTGGATGCGCGCTTCATCATTCAGGTCATTTTAGAAACTTCGTTCTCATTCATTTTCTATAGTACATCCCGGAGAATAGCCAATAACTTTCCAATGTAACGGAACCCCATCATCATGCAATTTATTGACCACATCAATTTTATTACTTCGTCGCAGAACTCATAACACTTCATCGACAGGATCAGGTCAACGTACATGACCCATATCTTCCAACAACTTTACAATAGAATTTGTCTCTAACCAATAATCTAAATTAAGTAGAGCAATAGTGGCAAATATCGATCTAATAGGTGGGCTCGATTGACAAATGGCCGGTAATAAGTCGATCAATCTTATTTATGAGGTCGACCCGACTTTGTGTTATAAGCTTTTATCAAGAAAGCATGTAATTGCTTATTTGTAATCATCATTAATCGTTTGTACTTACATATGTATAGTAGGGAGGGTCTTTTTAAGATCTACACCAGTACAAACATTAAAATGGGCAGTTTGCCTGGTAGCTTCTAAAATACATACAACGTCAATGTAAAGTCAGCATGATTATTTTTTTTCTGTGATATGAAGAGTTGTTTATGTTAATTCTATGAATCAAATTAAAAAGATTTGTCCTTTCTGAACTTTGTTCTGAAAATCATTTCTAAAAGCCTATGTTTAGCAATGGAGTTTATGTCACTGGTATAATGATGAAGGCGATGGAAGCTTGAAAAGAAAAACCAAATGGTAAACCATATTCTAATAACAAATATCAAAAGGCATTTGCTATTAATGCTCTCAGATGACCTATTGACTACTTTAATTTTTGGGATCAGGGAAAATATTATGAGAAGCACGTTCAAACTATTTCATACGCGAGCCGATCGCGTTCAAGAATTCCAGACCTCTCTTAGGTATAAGCATTCATTGCGGGCCACGAGGTCATGAATCAAATAACAGTCAATCCATTGCACTTAATTGATATCATATCGCTCGAGTAGCTGTTGAAAAACACATTCGATAAATAATTGTATTTATATCGTCACCAATTTTGAGAAGTTAGTCGATTGGAATGCTTTCTTTTGAGGGGGTAATAAAAGTGTGGATTAGCCAGCCACTCCGGAGTCCATGGCCTCACAGAAAACTGGCTTGAAGAAACACCTATGATGTATTTCGCCGTGTGAGTGAGGTTAACGGAGGCCTAAACGAAGAACTCCCCAAAAACAAATGAGAAGTCATTTCAAGCCCTATATAGGGTATTCCGTATTCCGTTCCGCGCGCACCTCAAATAGCAAATAGTCCACTACAGATGGGGCCCAACAGGGCCGACGTTAAGTCAGGGTTGCGTGTACATGCGCAATAACGTACCGTGACCCAGGCCTGGAGCAGGAGAAGGAACGCTACTTCATTAGGACGCGCCGCGTGTTCATAAACAAGGCCTTACTTAGGCCGTCTGTGAGACTGATACGATTTTCAGAAACCAGCAGAACTTAATAACATTTTAAGCTAGTCCGCTAAAGAGTAAGTGTGGCAGAGCCATGCTTCGGCACGAATGGGTCGGCTCGACCAGAGTGATACCACGGCCTCACAGAAAACCGGCGTGAAACAACGATAGCGTTGTGTTTCGCCGTGTGAGTGAGGTTACTGGAGGCCCAATCCTTCCTCTCCACCAATCCCTCCTCAATCCCTAAATCTCCAAATCCCTAATCCCTAAAAGGTCGGCAACGCACTCGTAACTCCTCCGTTGCGAGTGTCCATATGCGGCGCTGATTGCTTACCATCCGGTAATCCGTCTGATCGTTAGCCGACCTATAAAATAAAAATAAAAAAAGAAAACAAAAAAAGAGAGGGAGAGAAATCAAGTGATGATAAAAAAGCCCACCTAAACAACGGACTTATCTAATATAACCTGCGGCATCAGCGCAGATAAGAACTACACTTCTTATAAGTGTTTTTAAAACACCATGCACCATGGGAACATGTCCTATCATTAAGCACCATGGAGGCTAATCAAAGATAGATGTAACTTTAATGCGTTGCCGGGAACTATTCCTTAGTACATTACCTTTTTCTAGGAATACCCATAGGATGTTATTGATGTGTGGAAGCTGCAATATGAGTATGTGTATGTGTAGTTTAGAATGGTTTTACGAGGACGAGTAACACCGGACGTATAGACGTAATAGCCATGTATAAATAGATCAACGTTTTAGGCATGTGTTCCTTTTAATTAGTTTAAATTTTTAAATTTAAACTGTCATGTTATTGTAACGGTTGTAATGCGTGCTGGACAACTGGTTTGAATGAATAAATGGGGTATATGGCGAAAAGACTAGGTGGTAAAAAAATGTTTTTCATTTGTTGATTCAAGTTTGTACAATTATAACGAGAAACAACTTCGTGCGATCAGACGGGACGATAAGAACAGAAGAAGAATCGTGCCTTCCAAAAAATATCGTGTTCCGATCGCCTTAGACTAAGGGCAGTCGGGCACTCTCAATCACACAACTTAGGGACACTAACAGCCTAACAGTGACCATACCACCCAATCCATTGGAACTTAGGGACTTAGGTTTGCGAATTATTTTTTACGTTATCCCATACTGAAAAATACTTTGGTTGTTAAAAAAAAATGCTTTTAATTTGAGATAGTCTCAACAGATATTTATTATAGTAGTTGTCATTGGCTTCGAGTATGAGTAGGCTTGTAAAACTTTTTCATATCTACATTTTTACAGAAAATAAGTACCATTACAAAAACACAGAATTTTAATAGGTACTTTCCCAATTAAAATTTAACAAAATAAAAATGTCAATTACCGATAATACTTACCTAAAACCATTCCCATATTCGCAGGTTGCCAACCGGTCGCCTTCTGGCTCCTGAACCGTCATGGCTCCCACAAACCTGAAGCGGACGAAGTAGTGGAGCTTCAGAAACTTGGCGACCTCAAGAACAATATTGTGACTAACTACAGGAATGGCAACTTTAGGAACACTAATGTGAGTATTTCTCGATGTCCATCCAACATAAAAAGGTTCGAAATTTAAAATTATGCTTCGAATTTCAAACCTACTGTTCCTGTTATTTCAAATTTTTCAGCTTTATAATTTAATCTATTCTATAAATGTTTAATAGGTATAGAATATCATTGGATGTCGCTATCAAGAACATACGCGACGGTATGAAATCTTTTACACATCTATCATAATATTATATTTGATGTTAAATTATATATACTTATGTTTGCTAACTTGTTCTACTTACTCGTACCTATCGTTTTAAAAATAAGTAAGGCAAATTAATTTCCTCTATCTTTTTCTTAGTTCAGTCAATATTCTCAGCGGGTACATGTCATAAATCTATGATGAGATTTCAAATTAAGAAATTCACAATAGACTAGACTAGAGAATAGATTCTATTCTATAATAAAGTGACAGTGGGTGAAATGTGGGCGTCACCTCTCTCGACCCACGCCTTTAAAACATAATCAAATAATAATCACAATTTGATGCATTATTATATGGTTATTTCTCCTAAACAATCTAGCACGTTCTATTAAGAGAACCAATATTATGGAAGCAAATATTTCATCACATATTTCTCACTGCAAACACATTTCTAACAACAAAAATGCAGAAAGACGACAGACTGAACCAAACAACATTGTCCAAAGATGTCAATAATGTTCAGTGCCATGACAGCTCATCAACGTATCCAAAACTCACACAATATTTCATTACATTTTCGACCATAAATATACAGGCATAGAATTTACTTCTGTAGGTTTTGTTTCATGTTTGGTTTTCGCCAACAAGCCGCTAGTCGGATAGTTTGCTTGCCTTACTTTGATGTGGGAGTTTGTCTGTCTAAGCTATGGAAATGTACTGGATATGTACTTACATGGTTGGTTTAGGCGAAGCCCCATCAAGGTCATTATTAGCACTTTGTATGTTGGTACTTTTGACGGTCAATGATGTCTGTCTGAGTCTTTTTAAGTGTGAGATAAGTATACAAAACATAAGTAATACAATCCATAACATTTAGTTCACATACTACAATTAAATAGGTTTAATGTTATAAACTTTTTTGAGAGGTTCTCGCTTTGACCAGACTCTCATACATTAGTTGACAAATTCGATTCTGCCTAGTTTAGACACATTAACACTAGCGACCCACTGTTTTCTTTTTATAAAAGAGGTTACTATACATTTAAATATTTCTCTTCAATCACTAGGTACCTATTAAAAAGAGCCCCATCAAAATCAGATGCAGTTTTGGAAACTTAAACATACATAGGGATATAGGGACAGAGAAAGCGACTTTGATTTGTATTATGCAGGAATAATGGATTGAAATTAATGTCGGAATACTAACGCTCAATTATACTTAGTGTTAGAACTATCCACCCGAATATTTCATTTGTAGTTATTTCATTTTAAAAATCAATAGTGCCTAACCAAAAAATATTAATAGAAATTTCTCGAAAGTTTTTAACGCTGTTTAACTTTGTCCACAGCAACGTATGTGCTCGTCAGATCTCAACTTACTGGAACAATGGCAATGGGATAACCGCCATAACCTGACCTTTGCTGGAGACCTGACATCTGACGGGTACATGACCACACAGCAGTTCGCACAAGCCTGGAAGCAAAGGTTCCCTGGACTTATAACATCCAACAGCCAAAACTATCTGGTAAGTTCTTAACATAAACCATCTTTGAAGAGGATCAGGTCAGTGGGTTGTTTTAGGGGATTATACTGAAGGAAATAATGTTCAAATAACCAAACTAAGTGTGGGAGAGTCAAGCTTCGGCACAATTTGGTCGGCTCGACCGGAGTGATACCACGACCTCACCGAAAACTTGCGTGATATAACTACAGCTTAGTAGTACCTACAGTAGTCGCCGAGAGAGTAAGTTAATTGGAAGCCCAATCTTTCCCCTCCCCAATCCCTAAATCTCTAATCCCTAAAGGCTGGCAACGCAAAAACAAACAACAAAAACCACTAAGGCAAATTAAGAGTCTCCTCATTTTTATTTAACTCCTGTATCTTTCAAACGTTGAATGGAGTACCAACGTGCCACATCCACATCAAAACAACAATGCCATAAAAATGAAAAAAAAACACTGTTAATCATTATTTACATAACATCTACCATACCAAAGCCTTCTATTACTTCCTGTCTTAAAGTAATCCTTTCATGCAACCGCGACACTTCGATTACCGATTCGGGACAGACGTTATTCGATGCCATAACTACGTGATGTGTGTTTGTAACGGTAATAAACCTAGAATGCCTTAATAGTTACGTAACAAGACACCAGCAGAACAAGGTATACCAAATTGTAAAAATCCTTTAGTCAAATCCCAACTTTATTGTAGAACGATAAGGTTGAAGATCTAGATATTACAGATGTAGCTTAAAGCGCTGGCGTGGATACGACAGCTGGTCTTCAAGTTGGAAAAAAACAATGGTAGCAATGCTATTGACTTTTATAAATCGATCGAGGAAAACATATTTGAGATATTCGCTCTTTTGAATGGGTTTAAAACTTAGTGTATGGAGGTTATAGCACACGAAGTCTTTTTTGAGGAAAATCATCAAATTACTTCGCTCTCCCATGCATGGTGCCAGATTCTTTTTTAGTGACTAAAAACCCCACATCCTTTTTCCTCCTCTTGGCCGAGGCCGTCTTACCTTATTGCGCTTGCCCCACAACCCTGGCTGAACATCAGCCCTATAGGGACCGTCTGAAGCACACGAAAAGTCTGGGGTATTCTTGGTGTGGATCGTGTATTTGTGTTAGGACCATTTACGAATGTGGTTGCAACATTAGTTGCAGGTTAAATAACGTTACCTTAAATTAAATAAAATTTATGGATTCAACGCTCATCATGCGGGTTCATTAATTTACTTGCTGCTGCCACAGATAACAATATCAATTAACAACTTTCTATTTAGTGTCGTTGTAACTTTTAACAGCTAAAACCTAATAAACATTTGTAATGCTAACTTATTCTACTTAGATATCTAAGTTCGTCAAACTCTTAACTTTCCTTAGTAATTTCGTCTAATATTTTACGATTTTGCTTTTCAATCTTGCCCATTCGATTATTATTCTTCTCAAATCTTCTATCTTTTCTTTTCACTAGGTACACCACATACACTTTAACTTCATTTTACGTTGTAAAAAGGTCATTATTTTATATTCCATTTCATACAAAATCAACATCATCATTCCCAGCCTATAAATGCTTATTGCCTACCCCTTAGCAAAGGTCTCTTCTTGCATTGAAAAGTAATGAGCATTAATGGCCCCGCTTCTTTATGGCGGCTTAGTGATAACATTCTTAAAGGTCTTCGACCAGGTTTCCTAACAATATTGTCATCCACCGGTAATGTTGTCACCGGCGTGAAACAACAACAGCGTTGTGTTTCGCCGTGTGAGGGAGGTTACCGAAGCCTCTCCCCATCCCTTCCCAAAACGCTGATAACGTTGTCTTAACTCCTTTGGTGTTGCGGGTGTCCATGACCGGCGCAGATTGCTTAACATCAGGTAATCCGCCTGCTCGTTTGCGGACCTATCCCAGAATCTAAGGAAATACATAATATAACTCGAAAAGTGACATTGCTACTTACAAATCTTTAGGCATTGAAAGACCACGACGAAGACGACCAAGCATAAAGGAAAAATGTTCCTTACTTCTTCTTTTATGTATCATTTGGATTAACATAACTACTCATGTAACGTAAAGGCAATCATTCAGCTGAGTTCAAAACAGCTGATCCTAGCCTATTTCATCGATCATTAACTCAGGCATCTAGATATGGAAATCTGTCCTAGATACATAATGTGACCTAACAACAGAACAGCTCCATGAACCATTAGATCCGTGGAGTTGCATTTTATTTTCAATGACTGACATTATATTATGTTCTGTGAGTCATGTCTCCCTGGTAGCCTGTGATGTCATTGGTGGCGTTTTCTTATTAAATGCGTGGCTTTATGTTAGTTTAAATGGAATTTGAGCTGTTTTTATTGGATTCCATAATAATAGTAGATAGGTCATAAGGATTCCTTTCAACATTTTTATCCTCGTCTGTCTGTGTGTCACGTAGAAACACACTGATTAAGTTTCTCTTGATTGGTTGCTACTACAGTTTATATGGTCACAATCCGACAGACTAATCCTTACGGGCCCTTAATATTTACTTGGTATTATTTCTCTTTTGCAGTTCAAGTTTGTGAATGATCAGCGATCAAGCAACACTTTCAAGTCTTTCACCGAAGGTCTTTTCGGAGACCAAGCAGAGAGCCTCGATATACCCAAGGAAAATGATGAAAAATTGCTTAAGGTAATTCTTTTACTAGCTTAAATTTCAGGTAAATTCTAATGCCCTCTTTTGTGTGGGTGTCTTTAAGAAAAACAAACAAGCTTAGCAAAAGCCACTACAGAACCAAGCAATTAAAAATAAAATCTATCATATGTACCATGATGATATTTTTATGGATTGGTTTTTAACTATGTCCATAAGATTTCCATTTTGTTGATTTTCAAATAACAACTTGCAGCCCTTCAAGTTCTGCCCAGCGTGGGCCAAGAGCGTCGGAGAAAACAATGATACGATGTCACAGCTCAACATCTTCGAATCCAAGATGGAGTTCAAAGAGGTCAGTAAGAACATAATAAATATGATTATTCGTTTACTCTCATTATATGTTATAAAGTACATGACTGAACTGAAGACGGAAAATTGTTGCTACATATGTTTTTTTAAATAGAGAGAATTGAAAAGGAAGAAGAGAGCGATACTGTTCTGTTCTACAAAATGTCGATATTCTCAGAAAAGGTGACCACTAATAACACTAGTTACGGAAACAAATAGTTCTAAAAATTCCTACATATATATGTATTACCAAAATAATGTCTTGATTGATGACTACACTGATTTACCATTGTTCTGAAATGCCTACCGCTAATTAAGGCAATACGTGCCTGATGTCACGTCAAAAAATGAGTTCTTTTATAAATCTACTTACAATTTGTTAATTACAAAAACCTTAGTCCAGTAAAAATTAATACGAATTAGCAAAGCGTTTAGCATGACCGTAACCTTGGCCGTGCCTTTAATTAAGCACCCAGGTTCAAGTTTCACAGAACAATGTTTTTTATTTGTATTTTTGGTAGGTAGTTTTGATATGCTGTATGTTCTAATTATTGTGGATTGAATTACACTAGGTATTAAGCGGTGCGTTGGATTCGGATTACAAATTGTTTATGAACAAACTAGCTTCCGCCCGCGGCTTCGCCCGCATGATATGTTGATAAAAGTAGACTATGTCTTATTCCGAAGTGTATCCTATGTCTGTGCAAAATTTCATCCGTCCAGCCGATTTGGCTTACCTAATTCAGTAACAAACATTCAAACATCGTAACTTTCGCATTCATAAAGAAAATTTATCACTTAGGACTCTCCCTTGATGGCACTTTTGTACAAAATACAATTATAATGATATAATCTATACTAATATTATAAAGAGGTCAAATTTGTAAGTTTGTATGTAGGGGGTAATCTTTGGAACCGCTAGACGGATTGCCAAAATTCTTTAACTGATAAATAGCTACAATGTTCCTGAGTGCTATAGGCTATAAAACAGTACGCTACGATTAAATGGAGCCGAGCAGCGGGTGACAGCGTGCAAGAGGAGCTAGTGATGGATAAATTCGAGTGACTAATTTACAATAACATCAACTCCTTTTTACAGATGATCAGCAACATCTCCCTTCGCCTGGGCTTCAACTACGACATTCAGAAGGAGATTATTTTCCGTATCTACGAGATGTGTCGGTACAACAAGGCGTGGGATGTTAGCAAGATATCGCCCTGGTGTGCTGTGAGTAACCATAGCTTTAATAATTTTTACGTCACTAGCGGCCTTCTTCATCTTTATTTTAGAAAAATGGTGCCCCACACTTGGATTTTCTCCTGTGTCATGGGTGCGGTTACAAACATACAATTTCATATACACATGACACCCAGACGCGGAACAACAATTTGTGGATCACACAAAGAGGTGTTCCGTGTGTGCGGGCATCGAACCCGCCACACGTAGCACGGCAGCCAGTTGCCCAGGCACTAAACTACCACCTACCACTACACACCAGATACTAAATTTCTCAACTAATGGGTGCTTTTATATATTTTTCCTACATATAAATATTTTTCCTCGCTCACTTAATCTATTAAAAACCGTATCAAAACTCGTTGAGTAATTTGAAAGATTAATAATAGCATACTTAGGAATATAGTGACAGAGAAAACAACTTTGTTTAATACTATGTAGTGATTAATATTTACATGCACAATAACAGTACATTGACAATATTACTTGTAGTCGTTAGAATGTGAATGACATTTAGGTTGTATCATATATTTAGAATGACTACATTTAGCATACCCCATAGATCACTCACATGTTACACTTTCAGTCTTCGATACATCAGAAAAAAACGTTACCTCTAACATAAAATTCCTTTCATTTATGAATATTCCTGTAACACAAAAATAAAGCTCTTTCTATCACCAGTCCCAAAAATCTGCAATAGTATCAATGCGAAGAATTATTCTGAAACCCCCATCATCCACTTTCAGGCTTTCACCCGAGAAGATCTTAAGCGCCTGGAGTACGCAGAAGACTTGGAAACCTACTACAAATATGGCTACGGATCTCCAATGAACAAAGACATTGGTTGCACCTTCGTCAAGGATATGATGACCTTCTTCGAGAAACATGTTGGCAACAGTAAGTTAATAATTTTTTTTTTTTTTATTTTGTTCACCAACAATTGTTTACACAGGAATCAAGATCTTACAAACTAAAATACATAACTTCGTAAGTGTAACAATTACTTATAGGTAAACTCAGCATTTCAAATACATAGACATATTATGTGAATAAACAGTACACATTTTTGATATCACAAAAAAAAATATTTAGATATAAATATAAACCAAAAAATAAACTTATAACACAATAACAGAGACTACTAATTTACAGGATTTGCGTAAAAGTCGTGAACAAAGATATAAAGGGTAAAGCGGGTTGCAAAAACCAAAATAAAATTAAAAAAAAAAACAATTAAATTAAATAAATCACAATCGGAACTAATATTATAAACTGGAAAGTAACTCTGTCTTACCATCGTTTCGTGACGCCTAAACTACTGAAAGGATTTCTGTAAAATTTGGTCCAGACTTACATACATTGGAACTCGAGAAAAGACATAGGATAGTTTTCATACCAAAAATCTGCATTCCACGCGAACGAAGTCGTGGGCAAAAGTTAGTATTTTTATAATATCCTTGAGGTTACTTTGGTACTTATTAAAATGTAAAGCGGGTGCTAAAAATATTATGTAAACACAGGTGTTCAGTACACGGTATACTTTTAAACATACCTACTTATGTGTGTGCAGTGTGCAGTGGCGGTTTTTTTTTGACACTAATTGGCGCCACTGTCGAATTAAGTCCAGTCAGATATTAAGTGAAGCGCATTTTATTCCGTATTGTAGTAGATAGCATTCCTAGCATCTAGTTCCAGAGTTTTTACATGAATTAGATTTCCGTCATATTCTATTTCTTCTTTGATGGTAGGAACTTATTGTTTTGAAGATCTAGTCCCATAGTTATTTTAATAGGTATCTACATGAATTAGACGCCATATTCTATTTGTTCTTTGATGTATATTAACTTACTTGTTTGGAACTAATTCTCAAAAGTTTGTAGTAAGCATAGTTATCAACGTAGGAACATAATATACCTACCACTCTTAAACGACGAGCATACATGGAGAAATTTATGGATATAGAATAAGCGAAAAAGAGGGTGACAATTATCTAATATCAGCAAAAGGGTTTGTTAGAATCTTCGTTCAATTGTTGCCTACCCTAATGCAAGAGCCAAACGTCGACATGAATGGGTCGACTCGACCGGAGTGATACCACGGCCTCACAGAAAACCGGCGTGAATCAACCACAGCTTTGTATTTCGCCGTGTGAGTGGGGTAACCGGATGCCCAAACCTTGCGGATTGCCCGTCCGTCCCCAAATCTTCGTAAATATCCGAAACGCTTATCCTCAAAAGGCCGGTAACGCACTCGTAACTCCTTTGGTGTTGCGGTTGTCCAAGGGCGGCGCCGATTGCTTACCATCAGGTAACCCGTCTGTTTGATTGCCAACCAATCTCATACAAAAAACATGAGCGTAGTAACTATATGTAAGTAAATTTGATTCGCTGACAAAATTAAAGATGTGGAGTTTGAAACTGTAATAATGAGTGCAAACGTTACACTTAATTAAATCAATTATCCACAGAGTGCCCAAGTGGTGAGAAACTGTAATTTTTATTGTGACAAAAATATTTTAACCTTGTAAACATCCTGGTTTATAATTGACGCAAACTATATTTTCATTTAGTGATGAATTTCAGCAAATTGTGACATAATATGTGTGGTCTTCTATGAGCCATTTAGTATTAGATATTTCGTAATTATTCCTTCCTATTATTACATTATGTTAGGTAGGTACTAAATAAACTTGTGTCATTTGTTTACCAAGACTTTAATAGATAAAGGCAATGTATTTTAAATGTCTGCTACGGTTTCTAAAAGCGACTGTAATTTTGCCTGATCAATTTGAAAGGATGTTTCGTTTTCGATAATTTACCCCCGCATACATTGCATTAGAAATCCCATCACTACAATGACACAAAATAAGCAATTCTAATTAAAATCTTTAATCAAAATTTTCTTAATTCTCAGACGACCAGCCTTCAAACCCTCGCGCGATGATCCATCTAACGGAGGCAGCCATGTTGCTGATGACGCTCACGGCAATGGGAGCCCATCAAGACACCGCCCCCCTCACTGGAGACAACTATCACTCCGCTGTGGTGCAGTCCAGGAAATGGACGACTTCTACCATGTCACCGTTCAATGCTAACTTAGCTGCAGTGCTCTACAAGTAAGTTTTAAGTTACTCGAAAAGATTGCTTGAAAAGAAAATCCAGGTAGGTAGGGCAAGGTTTAAAAACATGTAGACATTCGTTATATACGAAATTTTAATATATTTTCACCGTTATTTCTACTTCCAGTGTAGGTACGGGGAATTTTACGACCACAAGCTATGTCAAATATGTAATTTTAAACGATTTAAACAGTAGCTACAATAGAAATAATAGTCACATTTTTAAATATTAATTCTTTATTTTAATATTAAGTGCAAAGTTTCCTTAAGGTAAGTACCTTCATAGTCCTAACTCCTAGGAATATAGTATCTAATGATGATTCATAACGAATCATTGACTGCCCTAGGCTGACGAATCATTCACGTCAGTGAATTGATGATTCTTTTAACCACAGACCAACTTTAACAATGGCTTGAAACGACTTAGAAACTTAGACCACGATTGTTGACTCAGCTAGAAAGCGTAGGTACCTACTTACAATGGACAGACTAAACTTGAACGTGACTCAAGTGTTGGATAGAAGGTCTTTATTTAAATTCCTACGCAGGAATAAGAGTGTGAAAATCATTTGTAAACATACTAGGCACACTTGTCATGGTTCGTCACGTACCTACGTCTTCCTAATTGTTTTCTTTTGGCGTACATAACTTACTACGCAATACCTTTTATCTTGAATTAAATTAATGATAAACTAAACGCAGTTAGTTATTCATCTTTCATGCCGGCTTCATCTAGTTTTTCACATATAAATGTGCCGTTACGTGTAAAAGTGCCGTTTTATGGCCTATTTGCAAAAAAAATCATTGTTTCATTGTTTCAAATAAAAACTAATGATCGGATGTTTTACATGGAGGCAGGTTAGGTCTCTTTTTTGTGAACGAAAAATCATCAAGAGTTCTCTCGCCCAGGTTGCGACAAGAGGGTTTGTCATACTCTTTCTGACCAAAAACCCCATCCGCCTTTTAGGGCCCTGTCTGTAATGGTCTATTGGCTCTTTGAGCCGCGCGCGGAATGCTACGCGCCGTACGCTTGGATGTCTGGATAACTTTTTTGACTTCCATCTTAGCAATTACAGGCACGACAGCTAATAAAAAATAATATTTTTTATTTCTTCCAGATGCACTCAAAACGGAAACTTCCAAGTGAACGAAGAATATCAGGTACTATTCCTTGAGAATGAGCGACCAATGAACTTGCCTGGCTGTAGGGTCGGGCTCTGCGATTGGTCGCTTGTCAAGAGCCGTTACGGAGACCTCACGAAGAACTGCGACCTCAAATTTTGTAACTCCGGTAACACATTGAATGGTCTAACTGGCATCAGTATTGCAATCCTTGGTTTTATAGTCAGCTATGTCATCAGGATATAAAAAGTATTAAAGTGAAAATAGGTCAAATATGTTTTCCATTTTGTTGCAATTCTTCGTTATTCCGCCATTTCTAGCTATATAACCGTTGTAAGGATTGGCTTTCTCTTTCTTTCTCCTTATATTAGAAAGAGATAACAAAGCACATTTAGGTGTAGGCTTAATAACACTCGAACCAAACAACCCAGCTAATTTGAAAAGTAATCTGTACAGTATGATGTCTTGGTTTCTCTTTTTATAAACTAGTAAAAAGACGGTGAGTTTTAATTTAGGCGAGTTTAATTAGATGTGCCTGCATGCAATTAAGCGGTAACTTGCCTACTCAGAGTTTGATAAAATACTTATATTGTAGTAAAAATACAGACTTAGATATCTAATTAGGGTACAGACTACAATAGTTACAATATGAAAAATGATGGGAATAAACTGTTCTTAATTGCATTTTCTATTTTGACAAAGGTTACCTAAGCTTTAAAATGGCGGATCCGAAGTATCTGCAATTGCATGCCCTCAGGTAGTGACATTGTTAACCCGATGACGCTTTTTTTGCGTGTCTATTTTCGCGCCATTTCTATGTTAGAACAGCCTGTTATTTTTTTTAATTAAGAAACAATTTTTACTCTATGGACCATTTATGCCTCTCTTTTGCACCAAAACGGTACAATAATATTTAACAAATAACACAGTTTTACTTTGTAAATACACTTTTTCTATTATTTCTTTAATATTTAATATGTGCAATGTATATGGAAATGAAAGTAAATAATAATGCTAAGTATATCTGGTATTAAATGTGACGCACGCTTTACTATAAAAATTATAATCGTGAATACTTTATTTAATCATTTCTTCAATTAAAATTATGTGCCACTCTAAAAGTATTGTCCTTTTTTGAGATGCTTCTACCGGGTCACAATATTATCAACGTTGGAAACATGGCCTTATGGCGGCAATATATTTAGTGTCTTAGCGTTTACAAGCAGCTGCAACATTGCAGTTTCTTTCTTTCTTTCTTTCAAGAAGACTACCCGATTAGATACGATATACGAGACCCGATAGCACCTTCAATACCTAATCAGGCTAATCAGGGGTTTTTTATCTTTACTTACCTAGTACTTTAATAAAGTATAAAGCTGTAGCTACAGTACACCTGGATATTAATGTCTAAGTTTAAACTGAAATCCCGGCTTTTGATACCGCATTGGTCGGGTTGAGTTTTGAAAAAAAAGTAGGTGCTAAAATTTACCAGAATATTATGAAAAGAGAACTCTCTCTCTTTACCTACCTACTTAAAACAACAACTCGTGTTAAAACTAAGTAGGTGGCATATTTTATAGTTGAACTTATCAGGTTTGCTGTAGCAGATACTAAAGATGTACTTTTTCTTCTAAAAAATATCTGTTTTGTCGTTACGTGTATTTAAGCACAATAATTATTGTCTATGTATTTACAAAAGTTGTTTCTTTATAAGTTAACGCTTAATGTTGATGTTTGAGAATATAATAATATTGTTGTTGTAACTAGCACCAAATAGAACTATCTAATAGTTAAAATAAACGTTTTAAAATAGATCTTTGTATTTTATTTCGTTGAAATAATTTATACCTACCCACCCAAAGAAAAATCCATGAGAATAGCAAGAGAGTTTTCAGAATTATTTAAAAACTGAAAAATTGGCATTTCCAAAAATGTTGCAATATCTGAAAATGTAGATGACATGTCATATTTAAATAATAACGAAGTTTCCGTTAACAATTGGTTACGAAAAGTATGACGCCCTCCAGTATCCAATTTCCTAAACGGTACCTAGTTTCCAACTATTGTCAAATTCTATACTTATATCCAAATGTCAAAAACGATACTTTTCTGTGAAATTTGTATGAAACACTGAGTTGTGACGTCATAGTATTTTTGCGTCAAATAGCTTACTTATTTCATAAAAACTTGCTAATAAATATCTAAAACTTAGTGTATCGATCGATCGATGAATGAAGTATACTTATTTTTCAATATGTTATTGTATTGAAGAGTCCAACTAATTTATTTTCGACCTAGGAAACTACCCAAATTAGGTCTCAAATAGGCTAGTCATAAAACCTCACACATATTTTCAAAAAACTAATCATTTATGAGAAAAGCACAACGTAGGGCTGGATGTTTGTCCTAGACTCCAAGAAAATGTTGCAATATCTTAATATTTACAGGTAGCTAGCCCAAGACTTTTCTAAATAATGATTTTATATTAGATCCTAAGCTTTTTTGCGTAGGAAACTACAATTGGCTTTATCGTGCTAGGTAACTGTTATATGAGGTAAACATATACGGAAAATACGTAACGCCTTGTAGAATTCTTCAACACTTTTTCTAATTGAGGTACGGGATGGGAATAATCTCTGCCTAAAATGGTGGGCCCATTTTATAAGTTCCGTTAGGAACAGAAGGAGCTAGGAAGATTTCGAGAATCATAGCTAAATTAACGAAATTTCCGTTACCCCAAATTAAAAAAAAGTAACATTATGGAACATACTGTTACGATTATTAGTAATATTTTATATATTTTGATATTAAGTTTGTCAACTGATAAAATAAAAAACAAAATAAATAATATTATTTTTTATTTCGTTTACAAAATTAACAACTTATCGATAAAATCACATATTGCTCATACACAATTTTACATTATGATAGCATACAAACGACTCTATATACAAATGCAATATACCATTTTCATCAAGAAAAATATCTATTTTTTATTAAATGTGAACTTCAGCTTTCCATTTAAAACTCTAAGCACTCATTTCCTATTTTCAATGAAGATTACATTTAAAAATGTGCCAATGATCAAGATAATTCAATCATCAATATTCATTTACTAGAGAAAATAAAAGAAAAACAAAGTATTGAAATATTTGCAGTATGCTTGCCAAAAATATCAGGAAATACTAATGATTGAAAACATAAAACTTAAGGGCCATGTGAAAATATTGCCTCGGTCGTGATTAATTTTTGATAACCGATTTTCGGAATACATTTAAAGCCAGCACAATAAACTAATAAAATGCATAGAAACAAAGTTCTAGCTACGCAGTATATGTGTTTGTTTGTGAATAATTGTTAATTTCGTCATTATTACTATCTAAGATCAAAGACATCATTCAGGCACATTTCCTTTGCATATGAATTGGATAACTCATGTTGATTTACTACAGGATTTTTCATGGAAATATGAGCTATAGTCATTACCTATATTATTTAACTAAACTTTTAAACTGCCATGCAGTAATAGTTATAACATATGCCACTATTTAAAACATTATTTCATAAAATACAGTCCACTAGTTATCAACATAATTAAATTACTTTATGCTCATTTTGGTGTATAATTCCCTGAAAGTATAGCCAGATATTTCGTAGTGGGATAATTTTGCGCCTTATGTTTTTTTTATTTAGCAAATTAACCATGCATGGATATGGATATCCAGAAAATTGATGAATGTAATTAAAAAATTATCGTGAAATTACAAAATACACGAAATTATCCATACCACGAAAATTCTTGCCATGGTTTATCAGGTATTATAATCATGGAATTGGCTATTCCAGATCCTCTTCACAATGCAAGTAACTGTGTTACAAGAATATGATAAACACAATAACTTTCAAATCTAGACGTAAAATCATTTAATAATAAAAATATCACGTAAATCATGAACCTATTCTGTGAAACACAACATAGCGAAAACAACAACTCAAATTTTCTAGTCAACAAACACTTGACTAATTTTAATTCTTTGTATGCAAAGAAGTGCATTAGAAAATAATATGAGAATAGAAATGTACACAATATATTTAATAAATAAGAATAAACGTATTAAAGGTTACACAATGTTTCAATTATTGACAATTTGAAGAATAAATTATGATTAGAGTTCAGTACTAACATTCTGTAAACAGCTATAATAGGTTTATTGTTTATGGAAATGAAGTGTTTTAAATTAATATTTTCTATTTGAAATTAAGTGAAAATGCTTGGAAGTCTATAGATAAACTGTGACGTCGGATACACACGTCGATTAGCAGCACCACAAGTTTACAATGTCCAACAACAAGTTAGCTTATGCTCACTGTTCACTTACAAGTGCTGGTGGGCGACTACACTACAATTTGATAACCTATCTATGGAGAGAATCACGTCGCATCCTGCACACTGCTGGAACTTATGTTCCTAGTCCTTTTACCACTACCAGTGGCCGATTTATTTTTGTGTCTCTTTCTGTCACTGTCCTCCTCCGTCACACTGTTGCAGCGAGGTTTCGGACTCATCATTGTGTCAGACGAAACTGAGTCCCTTTGAGATTTCTTCCTTTGCCTCTTAGGTACATTTTCGCCGATCAACATTTCATTGAACAACCTCTGCCGGGCTTCCCAATACAAGTTCTGCCGTTGTACAACTTCTGGGTATTTCGCTTCGAATGCGAGGTCCGGTGGTATGATGAGTTCCCAGCCTGTGTTAGGATTGAACTTAGCAACTGAACGGATTATCTCTAAAACCTCTGTCGGAGGCAGACGAACTGCTGCGGCTACCTTCCGTCGGTCGATGTAGGAATTTTGTGTAAAGAGGTACAACTGAAAAAGAAAATATATCATGTTAGTAATTTCAAGTTATTAGGGACATAGGCACAGGGAAAGCGACTTTGTTTTATACTATGTAGTAATATCAAAAAGTCCCAAGACCAAATACTTTGGAGACATTTTAATGGATTTAGAAGCCATAGATTTGATGCTGTATGCTATATAGATTTACCATACAGCATACAGCATCAAGCAAACTAAATGTGTATTAAAACTGCCAGGATTATTGGTTGAAAACATTTGTCTCAAAATGTAGGAGCAAGACCCACTCCACAAGTATTGTAGGATCAATAAAATTCTGTTTAAAAAGTGTGTTAATGGTGGTGTTTGATAGGGGAAAATTGCCTAAAAAATAAGATGTAAGCTTATAAAATGTATGGTACATACGACATGGTCCCTGGCGGCACAGAGTAGACGCGCGGGTACGGGCAGGGCGCGCGTGTACAGGTCGGCGGAGCGCGCCGCCCACAGGCCGCGCACGCAGCAGGCCGCGCCGCTCAGCGCCGACAGCAGGGCCGCCGGGGACAGCTGACCTTCCTCCGTGCGGACCAGCGACCGGAGGTCGTTAAATGTCATCAGTTTCGCTGGAATTCATAATAAAATATTAGATTCGACTGTAAAAAAATTGCTCCCTTATTTTTATTTTACAAAATCTAAAACACAGTACTTCTTTAGATTTTGTTGGTAATTAAGTTGGTAAGCTATTGTTAAATCGAAATACTGCCTGTAGTTATTGCTAATCAAACAACTTAGACTGATAAATATTATAAAGAGGTAATTGTAGGTTTGTATGTTCTTTGGAACTGCTGGTCAGATTTTCAAAATTCTTTATTCACTGATAGACAGCTACAATGTTTCTGAGTGTTTTACATTTATTTTATTCGTGTACGGGAAGTAGTACCCTCAGCTAATATTTAATAAATTAAATTAGGATGGTAAGTATTTTACCTCTAATAAGTATTTCCTTGATTTGCTCCTGTGGCGAGGGTCTCTTGGTGGGCGCAATATCGGCCTCATCTTCAGGCGGTGCGGGCACTAACGCTCGAACGTATTCCCTCGCACGTACCGTCAACGCCGACCCGTCAGATGTAGTAGCGCTGAACAGCTTCAATCGCTCCAACTGCAGATTAATTCACATTTTCTAATAATTTAAGTGTGGGAGAGCCATGCTTCGGCACGAATGGGTCGGCTCGACCGGAGCGATACCACGGCCTCACCGAAACCCAACCGGATGCCCAATCCTTCCCCTCCCCAATCTCCAAATTCCGTAATCCCCAAAAGGTTGGCAACGCTCTCGTAACTCCTCTGTTACGGGTGTCCATGGGCGTCGCTGATTGCTTACCATCAGTAATCAGTCTATTACATAAAAGTTTAAAAGTCACGAGCTTATCTGCGCGACAGTGTGTCGCGAGTTAAGCTCGTGAGTCAAAGTCAAAATCTTTTATTCCCAGTAAACCAATAATAGGTACTTTTGAAACGTCAAAATAGAATAGTAGTCTGTTAGTCTATTCATCAGTGATTGTTCCAAATTGTAGATTCGAATGGAGAAGAATGAGCAAGAACACTCCATCTTTACTCTTTTTATTTAAGCTACTAACTTGGCGGTGTCCCCTCCCCTGTTTGACACATTTACGTGAGTAAACCATAAACCCATTAACTAGCTTTTGCCTATGACTTCGTTCGCTTGAAATAGTGACTTCCTGCAGATTATTGATATAAAAATTATCGTAGGTATATCCTTTCTCAAGTTCCAAACTATGTCTGTACCAAATTGGTTCAGTACTTTAGGCGTAAAGAAAAGATAGACAGACAGACAGACAGACAGACAGACAGACAGACAGACAGACAGACAGACAGACAGACAGACAGACAGACAGACAGACAGACAGACAGACAGACAGACAGACAGACAGACAGACAGACAGACAGACAGACAGACAGACAGACAGACAGACAGACAGACAGACAGACAGACAGACAGACAGACAGACAGACAGACAGACAGACAGACAGACAGACAGACAGACAGACAGACAGACAGACAGACAGACAGACAGACAGACAGACAGACAGACAGATAGACAGTTACTTTCGCATTTATAATATGAGTTTGCATAGTTTGGATTAGATATATTACAAATTTTATTTGAACATACCTCAGCATGATCCGATTCGCAACTTTTCCAGAGAGCATCAAACCACGGCTCCTCGTTGATGCGCTGTGAAATAGTCTCAAACGATTTCTCTCTAGCCTTCTTGGAAACTTCTGTCTCTTGCCGCGCGAATTTTACTGTCACCTGTAAATCGGAAATATTACAAATTTCAAATCGAACTTTGAAATTAAAGATGTAGGATCTTTCTGAGGCAAGTTTTTATGTAGCATTGAGAACTATTCCAAACTACGTGCTAAATGCTTTTCAAAAACATCCATATGATACACCTTGCAACACAGTCCTACTTGTGATGTAATGAGGTAGTCAACTCATAGGAGTAAATTCTGGCATTATTTCTATTTGTAACTACTACTGACTTGGGAACTTATAAAAACATATTATGATTGTTTTAAATTACCTGTTGTGCTTCAGGCTCCTTATCTTCTTCATCAGATTCCGCTTTGTTTTTATCAGTTTTCCGCTTGTCTTGCTTATCATAGTAAGAATATGAAGGTCTCATTTGGATAATACCTGCCAACAAAATAATACAGATCATCTACTTGCTAACTTTTTATAAATCTGCACGGTTGATGCGGTGGCAGGACAACTGGCTGCCGTGCAAGATGCACACAGAACAACTCTTTGTGTGTCCACAAATTGTGTGATGAGGTGTATGTGATATTGTATTGTTTCTAAAAACACCCACAACTGAGGAGTATTATATTATTATTAAGGTAATAAAAATGATTACAAAAAAAAAATAGTACAGGCAAGGCTGTGCAAGGCGCTAATGATAAAACCTTTTAATTAATGGTATGTTATTTTTTACAGATTAGTTGATTTCTTATTTGAGTAGAGCTGGCTGGCTATTTCTTGAACAACTGTTTTTTTCTTTTGTCCAAGGTATAACCCAAACATACAATGCTGCCTTTTAAAAATTGGAATCTCACTATTTTATTACCATAAATGAATATTTAAAGATCTTTTGTATCTACTTTTGTTTGTTTTGATAATTATATTGTATGGTACACAATTTAGTAGTTTTCTATAATGTACCATATTAAAGTGTACAATGAAATTTCAAGGGCACTGAATAATTTGCAGGAATTGCGGGATCAAGTGAGTTGTTTTATGCCCGGTTCCTAAGCAAGGTAAGGTAAGGTAAGGTAAGCGAATTGTATGGAGATCTATGGTGTCTGTGGTTTTCCTATAAATATTTTAACCGTCAGTAGACGGTCAAGATAACTATTCGTAATGTCATTTGGTCGTAATGCGTATACAACGACGATTCGTTAAATATAGGAACCGGGCATTAGTCAGGAAGAGCCTGACACGTATTCTTGCCCTGCATATTGGAGGGGAAAAGTTATTTCATGCATTTCCCCCATCAAACAAAAATTAAGGGAACAAACAAAAGTGAATGCATTCTCTTATATAAAAAAACATACCTTGTATAGGTGTGCAATGTAATTCCTTGTCCTGCAAAATGGCCACCGCATAGTGCTGTGTCTCAGCGCAAGGCGCACTACTTTCATAGACAATCTTGTCCATAACACCATGCTTAAAGTATTGGGACTTATCCTTCTCCTTAATGTGCCATGATGATTCCTGTGAATATAAACTTTTTGTAATGTAATATAAATAATAACATAGGTTTTTATTATATACTGACGATTAATATGGGTCTGATGCAATGTGGGGCAAGCCTATTGCTTTTACATACAATGCAAGATGTTTAATTACCTATAATATTAGCTATCGTCAACTCAAACATTAAATAATGTGGTACTTTAACAACTTATGAAGGTATTTGAAGTGAGGCAATTTAATAACATTGGGGCAGTGATTATAGCAATTTGAGAAACCAATATTTCTCAATCATGTAGAACTCATTCGTACCTGTTGACCATCGGTGTTAAGCGCGATCTGCTCGCCCTTAGATGAGCAGTACTTATCACTGTACGTGTCCAATCCCACTTCTAGTCGAACCATCTTGTTCCTAGGTTTCACGCACGCATTAACAACTTTCACGTCTTTCCAGTCCCTATTTGCTGGCCTCACAGGATATTGATATATGTACAAATTCTGTGCTAAAGCCTGCGACAGAAACACAGGGATCTGCAACGAAAATACGAGATTATGTTAACGAAAGATAACTTTTTTCACACAACAACATAACCTCGTGATTTGCCATCTACCACGTTGTAAATGACTATTGAACTATTTTTCACCTCTTGAACAACAGGATCTTCTTCTTCCATCTTTAAGCAGTGCCTTTTGTATAATAAAACTATAACATGACCGCAATTACTTTAGGTAATTTATAAACACCACACCGCAACGCTACCGTAAGTCGTAGGTACAGTAAACGCCACTTCGTAAATGATACTGAGATTGACAGATCACAGATGTCAACCTTTTTGCTGGACAAAAGCCATAGATTATAAACTACATAGACTATAAATTTGAGTTGCAGTTATTTTAATTAAAAATTCTACCATTTTTGCTGAAAAGGGCAAATGCTGGACAAAAGCCTCTCCCTTTGTTCTTTATGCCGAACGACAACTCACCACTCGCATCCCTGGGCTCCCTGCGACTCTGACGAAGTCGTCGGTCAACCTATTGGGAGGTCTGCCCATCAATCTTAATTCAGAACAACACTAATCGATTTTAAGAGTTATATCGGTGACTTAACTTTTAAAATCAACGAAAGACTTTTTTGGCGAATTTTCACACTGCGGATCTTGTCACACACAAATAACTCGAAACGTAGCTCTCTTAATCGTTCTCTGGGCTACTTTAACACACGGTTTCCGAAAGGCCGATCAATGTTAAAATCAATTAAACAGGAGATTAGTTAATTTTAGCGTTGACAAGCCTTTCAGAAACCGGGTGTAAGTCTCTTTAATAGACCAGAAGTAAGGGACCACGTGTCTGTACCGTCAGTCAACACTATGAATGTGTGCGCACACACTAATTGCCCCTTCTGATTGTACCATTGTTGATTGGGTGGTTTAATTGAGGAGGCCGATCCGGATTGGATTCTTCGGGTGACCACTCTAACGAAGTTGGATTTACCTTGCTGGATAATCTGTCTTAGCTATGTATGGTAACCGTGATGGTAACCTAAAACTTCGATGATATCCCAACGATAACTGGTACAGCCACAGGTGCAACATGGGCATTTAACATAACCTATTTGTGTATGTGAAATTGTATGATTGTAAACGCACCCACGACATAGGAAAAAATCCTAGTGTGGGGCAAAATTTTAATATTAAATAAAAAATTTCGTGTTGTGTTAAGGTTCAGCCTAAAACCCACCTATTTGCAAATGGTATTGCGGTCGTTGACACTCGTTGAGCATAGTGTTCAGGTCTTCCAATGACTCTGCCACTAAAACTGTAGGTAATATCTGCATCGAAGATTAGTGATGTATTTGCCATTGATATAAATGCCGAGTCCAGTCCAGTCCAAGACCTTAAAAGCGTCCTTCAATGCGTTCGTAAACAAATTCGGTGAAATCGCGTCTATAATGCTTCACGCGTTTCTGTATTTTGATTCGTTTCGTATGCGCATTTATACAATTACTTATACATTAATTATATATTCACATTTATACAAACACTTCAACACGTCGATGTATTCATAGTCGATATAGAACCACTAAGGTGACTGTAGCACCGCCCAGATTTCGATTGAATCGAGGCCCTCTCGTAGTCTACAAATGCTAGCCACAAAGGTCGGTTGTGCTCTTCCGATTTTTTTTATGTAATAGATCGGCAAACAAGCAGATGGATTACTTGGTGGAAAGCAATCAACGCCGTCCATGGACACCCGCAACGGAGGAGTTACGAGTGCGTTGCTGACCTTTTAGGGATTAGGAATTTAGAGATTTAGGGATTGGGGACGGTGAAGGATTGGGCCTCCGGTAACCTCACTCACAGGGCAAAACACAACGCTGTGGTTGTTCCACGCCGGTTTTCTGTGAGGCCGTGGTATCACTCCGATCGAGCCGACGACCCATTTGTGCCGAAGTATGGCTTTCCCACATTTGATTTTTTTGTACAAAATTGAATGAATAAGAAATGTTTTTTTTATACAATCTGGCGAAATGTGTTCTATAGTGCTAAAACCTTTTCGGAATCTGGCTTGCCAGGACGCTGGAAATCATCAAACCTGCGTTCCCTTGAGAACAGGTCGTATACATGGCTCAAAAGTGAAATATGTCTGTAATTCCTCGGCAAGGAGTAATCACATTTTTTGTTGAAAAAAAACTACCACACTCCTTAGCCATACTTCCGGCGTAGTTACTTCGAGTGTGATGGTATTAAATAACTTTTGGAGAATAAAGTATCGATTTTCCGCAAGCTTACAGAAGTACTTAATGTTGTTTCGTCATCGCCCGGTGCCTTGCTTTTTGAGAACCATCCTAATCTCGTACAAGTTGAGGTATGGGATAATTTCAGTGCCGTGTCAGCTTACCTCTTGCGTGCCAAGCCGTACCGACAATAGGTTGACGTGTTGAGGTATACAAATTTCCGTAGAACCTCTCGAGCTCTCTTAGAATGAGACGAATCGATTTGGACGAAATTATGCTACCATCCTTGGTCTTCAGCCTCGTTATGTGGCTTTGCGATTTTTAGCTTGCCAATCACAGAATCATCACTATAATACTTGTCGGTCGCCACGATGACGTCCATCTCATTTTTGGTTAAACCGTCGGAGCTTCACAACCACATCCAGTTCCTGGATGGTAGCTTTTTAAAGGAGAGGTTCATTAGATAGAGACTTTCAATTTCCATAAAGTCGACCAGCTGCTTACCCCGATGCTTCCGCTGCCCATATTCAATTAGACCCATTTTGAACTCATCGCCATTCCGTATATCCTTAGTTGCAGTACCCATCACAACGGTGAAGTGTGCTTGAGTTCATAATCCCCAAGCACGTCACCGGTTTGTAATTATGAAAAACTGTTGCACATCCCTGGGTGTTTGGTTGCAGTTTTAGGACGTACCCGGGTCCTAAGTACTAGCCCCACCTAGCGGACCAATGTTGAGAAAAAAGATTCAACCTCGGGACGTAAGACCTCATACTGAAGAATTTTATAAATTTCTGGCGAAAAATGGCATCTTCAAACTAGAAGAAAGAAATTGAATTTGTCATATGTCTATCAATTTTCGTAAATATTGTTTAGAAACATTTATTTTATAGTAATTTATTTTTGTAAATATGATTTTCTTCAATATTCACTGTTAAACCCGTGCGAGAAATAATTATATATTTATTAAACTTATCACAGAGGGACAAAGGATACATATTACTACTCGAAAATGTCGGATATGATAATAAATGGTAATGGTGCTATTCCTTATTATATCTAAGTCAGCCGCCTAAAATGCATCTGATAGTAAAACCCTTTTTAAATATCGTAATAGTAACAGAGTCGATATAACAATGTGTGTAGACATGAAATGAGTATGTACAGATAATTCGAATGGTTTTAACTTTTTTAGACTCGGTTCCAGTCGACAAAAAATGGAATGAATTAATAAGATACAATATTTTTATTATGAAACTCGTGGAATTTGTAAGTATATCACACATTTTTTTATTATTTTACAATATAATTCATTACTTTCTTTATACTTGTTACAATTTTATTCCTTGTAGGTGATTTCACTTATAATAACAATCTTACCATTGATAATGCCAAAACCAAATGGGCATATGTACTGCATAGCAACTGGCCCTACACTAGTAATATCTCTATTATTTGTAATCTTGTATTTACGAAGAAAAGTGCCATTATTTATGGAAAAAATGTATTTGTTTTTTCAAATTTTGTTTACATTCGGTGCTTTCATTCAATGTTTTTTATTAAATTTAATTAGAGTTTGGCTATGGTTAATTTATGGAGTATTTTATTTTGCATTATTGTGTGCATTAGCACTTGATTTGTTTCTGATTGCTAATGAAAGAGGATGTACTTTTAGTTGCGCATAATAATAATTTATAAAGTAATCAGTCTTACGTGTATCAGGCAAAAATAGCATTTTAATATAATATTGAATGAATGAATGTCTTTTGATTAAACCCATGTAGAACTTATTTTAGTAAAAAGCACATTTATAAGGTAACCTAAAAGCAGCTTTACACGATTGACCTTTGGTGAATTTATGATTTTGTTTAAAATAAAACTGTTAATCATACGCACACGCAATAAAGAATTACAGACACTCCCACGACCAGACAACCCTAAATTTAAAACATTCACAACTTAATGTCACTCTGCCATCTGTCATAATCATATGATGTTATGATTTTTAACTTTAGGAAACATAAGTAGGTAGTCAAAAACACTGTGCAAAATGCAGTTAAGAAGTATGTAATGAAATAAAATATGTTATTATGCTTGTTTTAACTGCACTCTTAATCAAGTATATGCGCTGTTACGTTTTCGGCCTCTATTGCTTTTTTATACCAATGTACTAGAGAAGTGTAATGATGCACAACACAAATGACCTATTTAGAATATAATTACTTAAAATCTAAAATAATTAAAGATCGCTAAATGATTATCCTTCAACAAATAGGTAAGTCACAAAACATGAAGGCAAGAGTATCATGAAAAATTGTTACTTTTAGGTTATATCAATGGTCCTCATGATTATCCCGTTTGTTTTGACGGAGCCTGTCATCTTTCACTGCCTGGCCGTTGCTCCGACCCTCGTCTTGGCGATTGTGTTCGCCGTGCTATACTTAGTGGACCAAGTGCATGATCTGGCCGAACAACTATACTTAACATTACAAATATTTTTCAATGTCCTTGCATTTATGTTTGTCGTGTTATACAGTAGCCCCACCAGAACACTATACGGACTATTCTATTGTCACCTACTCATTGCTCTGAGCATAGATCTGTTCTTGGTCATCAAAGAGAGAGGATGTGCATTTGCAGGAAGTGATTGAATGTTAAAAAATGAATAAAATGCTTCAGAAAGCATGTCAATTCGTATTATTGAGTAGTTTTGAGCTTCGAAATCTTACCTCTCGTCTAACAGCAACAGGTTTATACGATTAGAATTCTTAGAGCTTTAAATGTAGACATGCAATAATAGCCATTTTGTGATAATTATGTTATTAGATTAGTTATCTAACCTGAATAAAAGTTTACAAGTGGGTCCGTCTCTTACTTTTAGGTAGTGGCACTGCTCCTCAATATACTGCCTCACGTTGTGGAGCCTCTGGACCTGTTACATTGCTTGGTGGCGGGGCCCACTGTCATTTGCTCCACACTCTTAATGGTGCTATATATTGTGGACCAAGTACAATATGAGGCAGAGCTTTATTACGTCGTCATTGAGCTATTTCTAACCATAATAGCACTCATAAATCTATTTATTATGGGTAAACTGATAGGAGCTTTATATGGATTGTTTTATGCAGATCTAATAATAGCATTTTCATTGGATTTATTCTACATACGTAAAGAGAGAGGCTTGACTTTTTGATTGTAAATTAAATTTTTTGTTATCTTTTCTATTGTATTATTTTAATATTATGGATAGGACTACAAGTACTGATAATGTTGGCAAGCTATATCCTGTAGTTTACACAAATGTGTGGGTGTACGACAAATAATGATAAAAAGTGGTAGCCATTGTGCCATAATGATATAGTGTGGAAAAGAGTAAACACTGCACATGGACTATTATTTCGTACAATACAAATGTTACGAATTTTATTGAGGAAAATTATGAGAGTGCGGCTGCGTGTGTTATTGTGGATTGTGTGTGTTTTTACAGTGTCACTTCTTGTTACCTTTTGGACATTCAGTGATGTAAATGATATAAGTGAAACTATAATAGATTCCAAGTATCCTGTAATAGTTTGGTGGAACATGGACTTTCATGGCATTTCAAGCATAAAATATTGCTCAAATGGTGTAAAATGTCACATTTATGGCAAAAGTGACAAGGGTGTGCAGAAATATAACAATGTAGGAGCATACTTGTTCTATGCAAGCACATTGGATTTTAAAAATCTTCCTTTACCAAGACAGCCTAAAGATATAATCTGGGGACTATTTCATGAGGAATCCCCAAGAAATGTGGAGGAATTATTACATGAAAAGGCGTTGAGTTTATTTAATTTTTCTGCGACATTTAGTAGATTCAGTGATGTCCCTTATCCATTGCAACATATAGAGGCATTTGAAGATATAAGAAGCAAGAAGCACTTTATAGAGACAAGCAAGAAAAATGAATTACTGAATGAAATTGCTCCTATTATGTACCTGCAAAGTGACTGTGAAACATCTACCGAGAGAGATGCATATGTAAAGGAACTAATGAAGTTCATAAAAATCGATTCTTATGGTGTCTGCTTGAATAATAAAGAATTGCCATCAAAATTCAAGGATGACTACTTGAATAATCTGAACGAAGACGAGTTTTTGGCGTTCATTGCGAGGTACAAATTTGTCATAGCGATAGAGAATGGCGCTTGCAACGATTACATAACGGAAAAGTTTTGGCGTGCCATCAAAGTAGGTTCCGTACCCATATACTTTGGTTCCCCTACTATCAGAGATTGGTTACCAAACAATAAGTCTGCGATATTACTAGAAGATTACCCCACACCAAAGAGATTGTTTGAACACATTCAGGTATTAATGCATAATGATAGGTTGTACGACGAATATTTAGAACATAAGACAAAACAGTTGATTACAAACCAGAGATTATTGGATGAGCATAGCTATAGACCTTATCAGTACGATGGTGTGAAAAATATAGATAAATTAGAATGTTTAATTTGTGAGAGGTTGCATGATAAAATTAATGGTCAAATAGGAGTACATATTGTTAATAAAAGTCACTACGATTGTCCTAAGCCGCTGTCAGCTTTAACTTTAAAAGTAAATCCTGACAATAGTTGGGTGTACTCTTGGGAATATTCTAGAAGTAATGCGGATAGTATTTACGATAAAGTTATTAATGGAGATTAATATTTTTGTATTATTTTATTTTATTACATAAATATACATTTTTATATAAATTGTATTGTTTATTATTGGCAAACACCGTCTAAGGGTGAAACTGGATGGATATCGTAGCGGATACCCCTCTTGATGACGTGAGGAATTGTTTTTGGTACCATCCTGAAACACACAAAGCATATTTTTTTTAATGTACAGTTTTATACATCATGACAAACAAATGAGTAAAAACTTGGTCGCAAATAAAAAAAAATCCAAATTCCGTGAACCTCTAACCATTCCAGCTGAGAATAAGACGCCTCATATAGCTACCTATGTAGGTACCAGAGCATAGTCTATGTATATTATTCCAGACTATAATCTATTTCTCTGCCAATTTTCATTTAGATCCGTTCAGTAGTTTTTACGAGAAAAGGTAATTGACATCCATCCACACTTACAAACTTTGGCGTTTCTAATATTAGCAAGATAATTCAACCGCGATTTTTAAATGGCGTACCGCGTAACTTTAATCAGGACTAACAACGTACCAAGCGACTTTAAATCTTAATATTTAGGACTTAAAATCGATTTTATAGGGAACATGTATACTTACGATATACAATCGATGATGGGACATACTGACAGACAGAGGGTGCAACCAGTGCAGTCGTCTGTCACATGCGGTATATGGGTTTCAGGATCGAAGCTGTAAATAAAAAATATTTTTAGAAGATGTTTCGGTGCGAATGTTTTGGCTCGACCGGAGTGATACCACGGTTTCACAGAAAACCAGCTTGAAATAACAATATTTTGCAGTGTGACTTATGTTACCAGTGGCCCAAGCCCCCTTGGTCCAATCTGGAGTTGCTATCTATGGGCGACAATTGCTTATCATCATGGCACTTAAATTGCTGCACGCTGTCCCATAAAAAACGATTACCAACAACGACTATTGACCAGAGGGTCGATTCTAGGGTGACAAATTATGTCTAGTCAAGTCAAGTCAAGTCTAAATTATTTATTCCAACTAAACCATAAATAGTAGTAGTCTGTTCGTCAGCGAAGAAGGTGCTCATTTCAAATTGTAGATTCGAATGGAGAAGAAACAACATCGTTACTCTTTTTAAAACAATAATATTTCATTTACAGTAAACTAATACATTATTTAGTTTATGGACATTATTGTACTCATATTATGTGACAACAATGCAGAGACAAGTTGCTAAAAAATCAAATCTATCATTAAATTTTAAATCCTTTATCACACATGGCGCTCACATATGCATACTGACGATGCATATTGTTGAGGTTTTCAAAAGTTATTATTGTGCTTATCCTCTTATCGTCACAGGAAATTTGTAGCTATTGATAATGACCATAGATAACGCTTTTATCTTAAAAATAACAAAAATCCTTTATGTCTGTGTGTTACCTCGAATTGAGTGGTTACAAGAATAAGTCGATTAAAACAAAGTTTTATTAGGTACTGAGAATCGAGCTAAATAGCGTGCTATTTAAGAGACCTTTCCAGCAGTGGACGGAATCGAGCTAGTGATGATGATTACGAGGAAAGTGTTATCGAGTTACAAACTTTTAGATTGCCATGTTGACAACTATTTAGTAAAAAATATTATTTCTTTAAAATGTCACGCGATGGGTACTTAGGTACATTTCTGTGGATTTTGTATACCTACCTAAGATTACAAAATTTTGACGTCATACTTTTTAAATTAGATTAAAGTTGACTTAAATGCATGTTGAAAAATTCTGGAAATCTAACCAGCGGTTCTAAAGATAAACCTACATTAGAAAAATATATTTTTAAGTACATCAACGAATGTAACTATGAATTATAGCTATCTGTATTTAAAAGCACCAAAATAATTTATTTTTGACCTAACCAATTAGTGAATTGTAGCTTGTATGTGGTGTTACAAAATATTTGAAAAATGACTCACTCAATTGCTTGGTACCCGGAGTCTGCGCAAGCCATGTAGCATTTACCACAGTTTATACACATGTCCTGCAATAAAAATACAAAATTAACTTCACCAATGACATAATATAAAACATTAAACTATACTTATAAGCCGTCTTTATCTATTTTAGTGTAGAAAAGTGTTGTTTTATGGCCTATTTGCACATAGATTCTTGTGTACATCTTCTATAATATAAAAATGAATCGCAAAATGTGTTGGTAAGCGCATAACTCAAAAACGGCTGGACCAATTTTGCCAAATCCTTTTGTTTTGTGTTTATTATTGTCAGGAGAAGGTTCTTATGAAAGAATATATCAGAAAAGTAAAGGGGAAAATTGGGGAAAAGGGACCCTTTCATTGTTAGGGAGATAGTTTGACCCGTGCGAAGCGGGGGTGGGCCGCTAGTAGTAAATATATTTCTAAGGCAAACGATCAGATTGATCTTCTGGTGGTAAGCAATCGTTGTCGTCTACGGTCGCCAACACTAGAGTTATCTATATGCGTTACTGGTCTTTGGGGATGAGAAAAATTGGTAGAGATTAATTGTAGAAGAGCCAAGCTTCGGCACGAGTACTTAGTCGGAGTGATACCACAGCCTCACAGAAAACCGGGAAAAAAGAGTGATTTTATAGGCCCAATCCCCTCCCTCCAACCCCTTGCCAATCCCTAAATATCCGAATCTATAATCCTTTTTTAAAGGTCGGCAACGCATTCGTTGTTTCTCAGGAGTTGCGAGTTTCCACTGGCCAGCGCTGATGACTAACCATTAGTCTCGCTTCATCTCGAGAACGGCTGGCCCGTTTTGGCTAATTTAGTCTTGAAATACTTGTGAAAGTCCAGGGAAGGTTTAAAAGGTCAGAAGACATTAGTTAATGAGGCGTAACGATGTTTGCCGGTCTTACTTACATCATCAATAAGTGCGACGACTTGCTTGGTATTATCCAAATGTTTATAAGTCCCAACCCTGGGCAACGCTTCGCCCAATACATCCTTAATTCTAGGAACATTTGCATTCTCTTCCTCATGACCGTTAGCTGCACCATTTGCCACGTAACTTTGAACCTTATTGTCACCCAGTAGGTCAGCTTTTAGCCTTGCTTCATGGAGTAATTCTTCTCGCTTTTTGCTATAAGGCCCGAAATGGGCTAGAACCTGAAAAAAAAAATTATTAATTTATTAAACAATGTACTTTTGTTTCAACCTCCTGAGTGATTCAATTATGAACCTTACATGTATACAAATAAGCATCAAATTACCTTGTTATTTTTATTTTAGTTGTACAGTAATAAAAATAATTCACTTTCAGATTCCTAAGTAGCGTAGTAGGGACTATTGTTTAACAAAATATCAACAAAGAACTCTATACTCATACAAATAAGATACATTTACCTTCGTCTTATATGGTACAAAGTTTTAAAGTAATAACATTGAACTTTTATGTTCCTAACAATTAAAGATGTCATCTAACTTCATAACAATAAAGCTCAATATACCTTGCCATTTTCATCGTAGAGCGTTTGAACGGGTTTGCCCTTCTGGTGTTTGAAGGTGGGCGGTGATTGGCCCATCCATCCGTCTAGGCCTTTAGACCTCAAGTAAAGCAATGCTTTCAGACCAGTTATGTAGTCTTCCACTACTGTGAAGTCCTGGTTCTGAACGGCACTGCAAATCTGGGAATAAGTACATAGTATTAAAAAAACGGGTAAAATATCGTGAGGAAACCTGGACTCGCCAATCCGCCTTGAGCAAGCGTGGTGATTAATGCTCAAACCTTTTCCGTGTGAGAAGAGGCCTTTGCTCAGCAGTGAACTTATAGGCTGTTGATGTGAAGAGGCTTACCTGTACAACGGGGGCCCCGCACATGATGAACTGTAGCGCGGAGTCTGCGGAGTCGATGCCCCCGATGCCCAGGATGGGGAACCCTTGCAACTTGTTGGCGATGGCCGACACGGCGCGCAGCCCCATCGGCCGCGTCGCGTTACCCGAAACACCGCCATACGTCGTGTGCTTCTCCACACCTGAGCAATAACGTTTATATTACCCTAGATAACCCGGCAAGGTCGGTTGTTACCCAGAGGTTAAGGCGCCCGCTTCTCATGCATGACGGTTCGAAACTTGGCAAGTACCAACCAAATCAGACTTGATATATGTTCTTTCTATGATCATTTAGACACCACTGACCTGACGATATAACACATGTTCGGTGAAGGAAATATCGTGAGGAAACCTAGACTTATAATTTCTAATTAAAAGTCTGATATCGACAATCCGCCTTGAGCAAGCATGATGGTTAATGCTCAAACCTTCCCCGTGTGAGAAGAGGTTTCTGCTCAGAAGTGGGCGCTTGCAGGCTGATGATGATGACCCAGCAAACATTGCTTTGCCATACATATTTATTCAGGGGTATGAAAAATAGCAAGTATCCTATTCCCAGACCTAGTGAATACCTATACATATAAAATTTGGTAAAAATCAAGTAGAGCCGTTTCGGATGAGTAAGGTAACTAACATTGTGACACGAGATTTTTATATTTGTATAAGATTTAACAACCAGTTAGTATAGTAAGTACAAAGTACCTAGTAGTAAAAAATTGTGAAAAAATACTTTTTTATTTGGCAGCTCACGATGCCTAAAATGTAAAAAACAAACACGTGTACAGTGAATGTATAAATAAACTCTTTGTTGATTTTGCAACAATAACAAAGAGGTATCAATATAAAAAAAAATAAATAAAAAACGGTTGTCAACACTAGCTTTACATGTAGGTCAAATGTTTATAAGCGGGAGAGTTGGGTTGGGATGGTATTAAGTTAGTAACAGTCTGACACTCATTCCCGATTCAGACAGGGTCGCAGGAGTAATTCGACGACATTCAACAATTTCCTGATTTCCGAGAACATAGGTTTACAGTTCTAGTTGTGATAGGGTTTTCAAAGCTGAATTCTATCTAGCTAACAACAGAGACAGCAATAAAGGTGGCCATCACCAAAACTGTTAAGAAAGACTTTAGGCTTTATTAAGATATGCCTAGAATAGAATTTTACTTACCAACTGCTGGCCATGGAGTGGCATCAGGCCTAACAGACATTAGACCAGACACTGTGTTAATTGCTGATACACCGCTCGCTCCACCTGCAACCAAAGTAGGATTTTAAAGTATCTAGGTATTGGCTGATCGAGCCGATTTTTTTTAAATTGTTGTTTGTTCTCTTGTGTCGTACACACAATTTCACACACACAAGCCACCCAGACCCGAAACAACGCACGTTGCACGGCAGCCAGTTGCCCAGTCAGTATTTTATTTTAATTATGAAACGCGAAAGTTTTAAAGTTAGTATGATTAGATTATGCATATATTTTGTTATAAAGGCATTTTAAGTGTGGGAGAGCCATGCTTCGGCACGAATGGGTCGGCTCGACCGGAGTGATACCACGGCCTCACAGAAAACCGGCGTGAAATAACCACTGCGTTGTGTTTCGCAGTGTGAGTGAGGTTACCGGAGGCCCAATCCTTCCCTTCCCCAATCCCTCCTCAATCCCTAAATCTCCAAATCCCTAATCCCTAAAAGGTCGGCAACGCACTCATAACTCCTCCGTTGCGAGTGTCCATGGGCGGCGCTGATTGCTTACCATCAGGTAATCGGTCTGCTCATTTGTCGAGCTATTACATAAAAAAAAGGCAACAAAAACAGTATCGTACCTTCGTAAGCAGCTGTAGCGATACTGACGATGTCAGTGATGTTTGGCGTCAGTTTCACGAAGAACGGGATCTTGATGGCTTTCCTCACCCATTGAGATATTCCCTTCACTAACACAGGATCCTGTAGATTAGAAATAATATTAAAATTGCGCTTATTTTATAGGGTGCCACATTTGTTTGCAACAAAGTATGATATTTAATTTTGCGTCAACTCATTAATTTGAAACTTATAAATGGAAATAATGTTCTGTTTCTATGAATAGGAGATGATCACAGTTGGTTCATATCAAGGAATACTTACTATAAAGAATTATGCAAGAATTCTATTATAATTCTATTATATTTTAATTTCCCTGTAGAAAAGAATTTACCCCTTTTTGACCTGCCCTATGTGGTGGCAGACTTTTAATGACTAAAAGCCTCCTTTTTCCTTCTCGTGTTCTCGGCCGGTCGCAGTAAATAATTGCTTGCACACAGAACTCCGGTTGGATGTGATAATCTAATACCAACCAAATCGATCCAGCCTTTTTCCGTGAAAAAATAACAAACATTCTCACAGACTTTCACATTTATAATACAAGTAGGATTCGTATGAGCTATGTATGATTGTATATCTTACCTGTCCACAAGCAAGTCCCATGCCGGACTCCCCCATCCCGTGAGGACAGGACAGGTTGAGTTCCAGTGCATCAGCCCCGGACTTCTCCGCCATCTGAGCGAGCTCCGTCCAGTCAGCCTCGTTGTACGAACACATTATTGACGCTATAACCACCTGGAAACAACACCATCAATCATAAGGCATAGGAGAAGTAGAAAATATAATCTTATTAAACCCTAACTCCCAAACCCTTGAAGGTCGGCAAGGCACTCGTAAATGCGAGCGTCCATTGCGGCTGACGCCGATTGTTTACCATCAGGTAATCCGCCCGATCGTTTGCCGTCCTATCACATAAATAAAAAAAAATCATTAACAAGCCGTGAAAATCATTTGGTGAAACTTCCACGGTTTACCGAGGAGCACAGAGCTTAGCGCGAAGCAAATGTATCATAGCTGTAGAGTGTTCGGATTGCGAGTGATTGTTAGTGGAGAAGAAGAAAGATAAAATTGTTAATGTTCAGTTTAAATAGTTTAATAATATCACGTACACACGATACAATGAATTATAAATGTTAAGAAATGTTAAAAATGTTATTGAATGCACACCCGGTCGCGGTGCTTCCGTCAAATGCACTGAAATTAATAAGTAAAATTAATATTCAAGCGCACGCGACATGATGCCTAATTATAAAATGTGTTTGGCGTTAAATAGAACACCGAACAATAGCAGTACCTAAATAAGGAGGTTTATTGTGTTTAATTCTAAAAGATATTTCTAAGATTCTTTTTTATTTGAGGGCAAAAGGTATCTAATGATTTTTTGGGTGTGGCGTTAGACTCTTACTGGCAAAAAACCTCCCCATTCCGTGTACTCCGAATTGGCCCTGGGTTCTCCGTTGCGCTAAACCCACAACCCCGGTCAAAATAACTCCAATAATACTCACTTTATTCGGGAAGTCTCGTTTGAGCTCAGTGATGCTCTGGCACCAGTAGGCGGCGCACTTCTCGGAGATGAGCTCGATGTTGAGGAACGCGCCCTGTCCCGGCCCGTACTGCTCGCCTGACGTCACGCCGCGAACTATGCGCGGGGATACGTTCGTTACTAGGTCCTGTAGACGATTATATTAAATATCATAGATGTTTTTTTAAATAAATAGTTCAGCAAGCAGTTATGTAATGAAAACTTATAAATGAGTTCCTATAGCAATATATAATTTGACAATGCAATGTAACCAATAGCTCGACAGGCAGACAAAATTAATGTTAAAAATATTTAAATGCAAGGACCGTATTATGGTATTACCTTGAAGTGATTTTTTTATAAGTATTTACTGGTTTGAAAATAACGCTTAGGACTTAGTATAATGATCAAAAGTTACGACTTAGTAATGAAGGTGTCGTTGATATAAGTCTAAGTTAAACTACATTAACTGGTTAAAATAAATAGGTACCTAACAGTCCAGATTTTACCTAATATGTGTAAATGAATGCCTATCTATCTACTGTACTACTATCACAAACGCATTGTTTTTATTTAAATTTAGTACCTACTAGGTTTTACGTTATTGTAGATTTTATAAATACAATTTGTGGCAACTCCATCGCCATAGTTAAACAAAAATTAAAATGTGTTTAATATAGTGTTACCCTCCTTAAAAAACAGATTTCAAAAGATATAAGCTTTTAAAATCTGTTCCTATATACATGTACATTATTTTCTTAGCCTTATATGAAAAGAAGTATTTCCTATATGGCAAGTCTTTTTACATGATGACCCTGAGGCAGTGAAAAACTAATAGCAATGATTAATAAATCGAAAATATAAGTATATCTACAAGAAAAGTATTACCTTATCTAATCCAAAAGTCTTGGTGACAGCGAAGCCCCAGCCTTGCTCAAAAGCCCTCCGTATCATAGCAGTGCTAGTAGTGGGAGGCGCACTGGCTAAACCGAACGGGTTCTCGAACTTGATACCGCATACTTCCACTGACAGATCCACGTCATCTATGGGGCAGTGGAACTTGGGTAGCTCTATTGGTGAAGTGAAGGGGAGGCCCTGGAAAGAAATGGTTGATTAATGTTTTTAATTTGTTTAATTCTTAGGAGTTATCTATGTGTTCGGTGTCTTCTGGAAGCCTAATACCTAAACAAAACAATTTTTGAAAACGTTATGTATGCTAAAGTGGACCTTTATACCTACCTACAAAATAATAATAAATAGTTCATTTGCTTGAACAAGATACATATAAAAAGGTCTTTACAATAAATAATGGAATCTCTTATTCTGCCGTTTATTGCGACTTGCAAATTTCTTAAAGCTATTTAACAAGATAAATTCTACCTACCGAAAAACAATCACATTGAGAACTTACAACTTACAATCTAGGAATTCATCAACACTATAATAACAACTCAAGAAACAAAAGAAATACAGGTGACTGGTAGAGAACGCTTTTGGGAATTTAGTTCGTCTTTGTATTTATTAAGTAAAGAAAAATAATTATTCAATCAGAGCCAGTCGTTCTGGAGATTTACGCAAACACACATACAAACAAACAAATTCTATCATTTTATAATATTAGTATAGATTTGCTGATCGCCACTTTAAAGTTACAAAGTAAATACTATATTAGAAACAAAAGTTAATTTAAAGAATAAAATAATCAGTACCTATATAATTCTAGTGTTTATAACTTACCTGCAGATAGCAATGCATGTACCAGGCCGCAGTTTTGCCATCATTGACAGACTCGACCGTGGTCTCCGCGACGCCGGCCAGGTCTCCGCCAACGAACACCTTCGGGTTGCTCCTACTCTGCATAGTGTTCTCATCCACTTCTGGTAATCCCCAACGGTTCAGGGTAACTCCTTGCATCGCGTCTTTTACTGGGGATTAAAGATTTAAGAAATTATAAGCTGTTTTAATAAATAATTCAGGTATTTTCTAAGGGTAAAGCGCCTATGTCGGATGAAGCAAAAAAATTATTACTATTAATTATTGATAGATTTAGGTATAATGTTGAGTGACTTCTAAAAGATAAAACACATAAAAAATGTCCCAATCAATATAAAAAAAGTAATGGTGATACTAATAAAAGGCACCAGGTTACTTGTATCAAGTTATGTGCAAGCGTTTATGTAATACGTTGGTCGTAATTTCACTATCAATATTAGCATTTCGCCATAGTTTCTGTAAGTGCTACCCACATTGTAGAATTTGGTTTATATTTTTTTATATACATACTTAAATAAAGTTTTACTTATTTATTTTTTACAATTAATTAACTTAGTTACCAAATCACTACAGAAAGCTTTATGCAGTGGACAAAAGGTAGGCTTTTGTCCAGCAATGGGTTGGCAACGGCTATTAATAATAATAATTGCCCATTCAGGCAATAACCCAACTCAGCAAAATACTATAGCATCCAAGTTTAGGTATACGGGGAAATTGATAATTTTAATTAAGCATTTATGAAGACATACAAGGGAAAATCTTCAAATTATTTCTCTCGCCCAGGGTACGGCGAGAGGGAGTGTCAGACTCTTACTGAGTTAAAAAGCCCTCCATTCCTTCACCTGCTCCAGGCTGAGCCCGAGGTACCTTCTTGCGCTTGCCCCACGACCCCAGCATGCTGATATACTTCAGAATAATATTTCTTACCATCAGCCTCATAAAGTCCGGAACCAAAAGCAGAGATGATGAAGTTAGCTTTGAGTTGCATGACCTGATCCTCATCCTCTATCCATTCTCCATCATCCAACTGTTCAGTGCGACACATCTTTAAGGCTGCAATCTGGAAATATATAACAACGATTTTGAGCTTCAAGTCCAACTGCTGGGCTAGGTTGGCTGCGCAGCATGTCCCGCGTAATTCCCGCGCGGAACAACTTATTTGTGTATTTCCACAAGTTGTTGTTTCGGATCTAAATGTGATGTGTATGTGAAGTTGTATGCTTTTTAACGCACTCATGACACAGAAGAAAATCGGAGTGAAATTGTTTGTAACTACTTAATAAAATATTCTTACAAAAAGACAAGAGATCAAGATCGATTGCGGTGTGGAGTATGTCTCGTTGTCTCTCGCTGTTAACTTACTTTCATAAAAGCCGCTCTTTGTCATTGGTTTATTAACTGGAACACATCAACTGCTACGCCGAACGGACTCTTACGAGATCGTCCTTCGGTCATTGCTTACAATACGCGAATTGATTCGATTATCGTAGACGTTGTAATTAGAAATATTGATTTTGATTGGAGGCTTAGTTAAGTTACAAAATTAAAAGGAAACTCACCTTTCCATTCTTCACGATAACTTCTCTCGGCGACATGAATGGAACAAACTCGCATTTCTCCTCTTTTGCAAGGTCAACCTTAAAACAAAAAAAAAAACAAGTTACTAAGCTACTGGTTTTAACAAAAAAATAATAATAATAATAACAAAATAGTATTTTGTTTTTTCGGTCTCCCAGACAACAGGCAACGCGTTTCTAATTCTCAGTACGGGAAACAGCTTATTGTCAATCGATATTTCTACTCCTAAGCTATAAAAAAATAAAACTAATAGTAACTCTTTACAGCTCTTAAATATTGGTCTTTCCGGACATGATGCGCGACATCGGCGTCAAGGACCTATCACGTGACCATGCCCCAGAAAGGCTAAAAGCACTTGAAATGCTTTTGGGGTTGCAGGTGTCCGTAGGTGATACCCTTTTTATTGAGACAAACCCGCTGCAGCCTCCCAATACTGCTTACAACTCCTGTACGCCAGGATCTACAGTAGATACGATCATGAAAACACCGAAATACTGAAGTCCGGCGCGTCCCAAGGACATGAATGACCGTTTTGGATCCCGCAACGAAATAAATCAGAAGATGTTATTTGAGGAGAAGAAAAAAAACGAAATAGGTGATACTGATTGCTTACAATACGTAGACAATTTTTGGGGCTATGGATCAGATGAGTCTGCTCGACTGCTCATCTTCCTTCTGTATTCTGAGCCTTCCTTATAGAAAATCCGTTGCGTTTCACTCGCCTTAAAGAGCTACCAGACCCCTACAAATCGCACCCATTAGGACCAATATCCAACCTTGTTTGCTCAGAGCAGGAGAAGGATTGGGACGGTTTTTAGTCACGAAAGAGTCTGACACTCTATCTCGCCCTACTTACGAAAGTTTGTATCTTCTCTTATCAAAAAGAAAACCTTAAAAATATACCTCTTCAGGCACAGCTCTTATATTGGTGACTCCTTTTCTGAAGACGACGTAGACTTTCCTCGCGCCACAGCGTAATGCTGACGTTGCGCAGTCAAAGGCCGTGTCACCAGCTCCCAGTACTATCACGCTGCCGTGTAATGATGGTAGCGGAGACTTGCACGCGCATAGACCTTAAGAAGAAAAAGGAGATTTATGGTGCGGCGGCTGGGCAACTAGCTACGGCACAACGTGTCGCGGTTTCAATTCCCGCACGGAACAACTTTTTGTGTCATCCACAAAAAATCTGCCAATTTCAAGTCAGAGTGGGACTCTTATTTATAAGCAACGTGCGCGGCGTTGTGACGTCATACGAGTTTGCATGCACACTGTGGTATAAGCACATGATATTACATACTCATGTCACCCAGATTGGTTCCGCAAGGGAATCAAACCAAAGACACGCTGCTTAGCAGTCGATTGCCGAACATTGCAGTCGAAAGTTTAACACGGTCGAAACCAATTCTTGATCGTAAACGGGCCTTCAAATAAGTTGGAAGGATCAGTTTATTCTAGCTTGAGTTAGAAGAAATTCATTAGTTTTTTGCCAAGATGCAAACAGTGGGCTTTTCTAGTTAGACAAGGTGTTAAACGAATTTCAACCTAAGAAGCTAATGATTAAGATTACTTTATACTATGCATAGATGTCAATTACAATTTAAGTAAAACATACGCACCTCTCTTGCTTCCCTTCGAGACGAGGGGTAAAAAATCCTTGCTGGTGTAGAAACCCATCTCCTGGTTTAACCCTTTGAAAATTGGAATGCTTTTTGGCTCTGGGAGACCGATTCCTAAGAAAACAGCTGCGTGACCGTCGTTTAGAAGACCCTAGAATAAAAAAATCGGTTACTGACTCGTAAAAGTAGGTTAGGAAGGTAGGATAATGAAAAATGATAATTTACAATAAGTAATTAGTAATAAGTAAGACCAACATTTTATTCAATTATGATGATTTTACGAGTAAAATCCAATAGAATGATATTTTTTTCTTTTCCCCAAACGAGTGTATTATATAAACATTCAGCAGGATTTCAACAAAACGTAACAAAGTTTAGTATTACATTTGTGTTATAAATCTGTGGCGCATTGTCATGTATGGCAGTGCTTATCCTCTGTCCGAAGAACAGACCTACCATCTATACTCCAGCTGTGGCCGGGAGGAAGAGATGAATCGGGGTGGTTTTTAGTCAGTAAGAGTCTGACACTCCTTTTCCTAAAACCCAAGGCGGGAGAAGTCATTCAAGTCAAAGTCAAAATCGCACACACAATTGAACACAAATAAAATAAAAAGTTTTACTTTGTGTGTGTGTGTCAATCTGTCTATTGAAGCTATTTGCTCGTTCCAAAGTGTAGATTCCTATGGAGAAGTACGAGCAAGAAACTACATGGTTACTTATTTTGACTCAGTTTCAATGGTTATCACTTTTAAAAAAGTCCTTTGACCAACGATTTTTTTGGTGAGGGGAATTTCATCTAATGAGCCGCCAAGGGGCGAGAGGGAGGGAGTGTCAGACTCTTACTAATTAAAAACCTCCCCGTTCCTTCTCTTGCTCTGGGCTAAGATCGCGGTGCCTCATTGTGCTTGCCCCGCAACCGCGGCTGAACATCAGCTCCATAGGGCCCCATCTGTGGTGGTCTATATATATCTACGCGCCGTACCAACGATGAGCTACGTACATTGACAGTAATATCCTGGGTGGACAGTTTCCTTCCAGTTTCGAACTTGACTCCCAAATTCTTGACGAGGTCCACCTCGAACTGCACCACGTCATATGGAAGACGGTACTGCGGAATTTCTGATGAACTGAAATTAAAAGATTTTTATTAGAATTCTGCATTATTTGAATAGTGAGAACTTTTATGAATTTAACGGTTTTACATTATTTATTATTGTTATTTCTTGACATTGCATATGTATTACTGCACGTTTTTACAAATAAATTGTATATTTTACGCCAAATGGTAAAGCCAAGAGATCTATATTTTCATAACCCATTTTATCACACACCTTTTAACTTTTAAATCGTAGTAATTCGAGACACAATAGAAGAACAATGGGTGCGAAAACGCTTGCGTTCGCTAGGAGTTAAATGAATTAGATTGCTTATAGAGATATCGGAAATAGTTTCAATGTAAAGAGTTTCTGGGGCATAAAATCAATCAATTATATTTACCTATAGAATAGCAAAAATAAAAACAAAACAGTCCAACAAGAAGACTAAAAAAAAAACGATTGACTACGCACGCGCAGCGTTTGCGGCCTCGTGTGAAACAATGAATATTTTTGCAAATAGGCCATAAAACGGCACTTTTACACGTCAAATTATATGTGAAAAACTAGATGAAGCCGGCATTTCCTATCTGACTACTCTGAGAAGAAATGCCGAAACAAACTCAGAGGTCAGTGTGTCACTTATTGCTACTTATAAGCCCTTAGCGTTGCTTGAAACTAGTCGAGTTATCTCGCCAAATAATTACGAGACCAAGTCGTTTTACATAATCATTACTTTAATACGTCTCACCAAAAGTTATTATACAAAGAAATATGCCAAAACTTACCTCAAACCCCCCAAATACTTTTCCTTCTCATAAACAGTAATGTTTTTATATCCAAGCCTGGCCAAGAAACAAGCGCAGCTAATACTGGCGGGACCGCCGCCAACTAGGGCAATCTTCTGGTCCCCACCTTTGGGAAGCGGCTTGGTTTTAGGATCCAAAGTTTGAGGGATACCCATCTTCATGAACACCTGGAATAAAAAGGATTAAAAGTATAGATAATATAGCACTTGTGATGAATATCGATGTGGTTTTTGATGGGGTAGGGTGGTAAAAAAAGCAGACGGATCACCTGAGGGTAAGTCATCGGTTTTATCTAGAGTCTAGTGACTTTTGGGAGATGTTAAGGATTAGAAGATTTGGAAGTAAGGCTTCCGGATTGATTCAAGTCAGTTTTTTGTGAGGCCATGGTATTACTTCAGTCGACTTACTTTAGTAGACTGCCCATTCGTGCTAAAGCATGGCTCTCACTTCCACTTGGTTAACCGAAATTTTAGGTCAATACAGTTCACACAGTTCATTTCGTCACTTAAGTTTCCAGTTTGATACCTATCATCAAACGCATTAGCTTTCATCTCTAAAAACCATCACACAACCAATCCATCTTGTTATATCCCCTGAACTACGCTTCGTGACTTTTATTCGTTTGCGGACCTTCCTATTTCAGTTTTAGAATAGCCCTTTTAATAGAGATTCCAAAGAACCAACTACAAACTTACATCAACAGCAAAATGCTGCAGTCCACCGATGTTGATGGCGCCTTCTTCAGTAGCGTGGAGGTTGCATCCGCCTACACAGAGGTCGCTAGTGGGACACACCATACCACAAGTCAAACCCAATGGATTGTCAGACAGGATCGCTTTAGCTGCTCCATAGTAATTCTGTAAAAAAAATAAGTATAATCTTTACACAAATTAGAAGTTCATATCCAGTATTTTGCAAGAAGTAGTAAATATTTTTAATTATTGATCCTAATATTCAGGGGTAAGGAAAATCATCATCATAATCATCATGCTGATTTTGTCCACTGCTAGAATAGTCCTCCCCAATACGGTAGTTTCCAACTAGTCAAATTCAATACTTTTATCCAAACGTCAAAAACGATACTTTTCTATGAAATGTGTATTAAAAAGTGAGCTATGACGTCATAACATTTTTGCGTCAAATAGCTTACTTATTTCACAATAATAAGCTTAAAAAAAACTAAAACTTGGTGTATCGATCGATCGATGACTAAAAGTATAGTTATTTTTCAATATTTTATAGTATTGAAACATCGAATTATTTAATTTTTGACATAGGAAACTACCCAATTGCACGCCACTCAAGTTGATGTTTAGCTAAGAAAAAAAAAAGCGCCATATTTTCTCTATAGGAGAATCACAGACTGTCGTCTGTGCAGGAAAACCTTACACAAATCTGTACATTATTTTCATACGATTTTTGACTTCATTTCGAAACAATAAAGTTGATCATATAATAGTCTTATTATATTTAACTCTTTTTGCTCCAACCGACCTTAGTAGCAATGCTGCTGATAAAACTCTTGACGTCAATCTGCGTCGGGCAGGATTTTTGACAGGGTGCGTCTGCGCACTTGAGGCATCGTGCGGCCTCCTTCAACGCACCACGTTCGGACAGCGTCGTATGTTTGATGTCGTCGAAATTCTTCGTCAACGATGGACAAGTCTGAAACAAAAAGGTTTTTGTAGATGATCTTCCTCAAAATTTATAATATTGCCTAGATGAAAGTTCTTGATTCACCTTAAAATATTAGTTCCCATATTATATTATTATAACATATAACTTTGCCATTAGGTTGTGGGTGTACGCGTAAGCGTAATAGTGTATCATGGCCTCAGCCCAAAGTAGAAGGATTGGGCTGATTATAAGAGTCCGCCAATTTCTCTCGCAGGAGAGGTTAGTAATTTGATGATTTTCTCCCCTCAAAAATATAGAACGTAATTACACTACACTAGCTACTCTCGCGCGGCTTCACCCGCTGCTCGGCTCTATTTAGTCGTAGCGTGATTTTTTATAGCCTATAGCACTCAGGAACATTGTAGCTATCCATCAGTGAAAGAATTTTGGAAATCCGACCAGCGGTTCCAAAGATTACGCCACATACAAACTTACAAACATACAAACTTACCACTTTTACCGCTTTATAATAAGTACCTATTATAGTATTGATTTTCTGAGCTAGTTTCGATTGCAAACCTACAGTTTTGTATGTTGTATTAATACATTATTTTATTTTTGAAATAATAGATAGGTGACATACGGTGAAGGTAAAAACATCGTGAGGAAACCTGGACTTGTAATTTCTAATTTTAAGTAATATTATTTGCACGTACCTATTATTATTTATCTTAAAATGTACCTAATATTTGTAACAACAGTGATAACAAACGGCAGCGTAGGGGAGGGTGGGGTAATCACGGACGGCGGGTAATGCCGGACACATCAGTTTAGGTGTGTTAGAAAAGGGTAGTAGATATTCTCAATGCTTCAATCGCGAGTCGAGTTCGAACGTAGTGCCGGACTGTGAGTAGGGGAGTGAGGCTGCGCACACTTTGCAAGGTATGTAAATTTGAGTTTTTTTCTACAATTTCATCTAATTTTAGTGTAATTTTGAAAAGTTGTATATTATGGCATTAATGACATAGGAATCTGGTATCTTTTATGTATATCGACATGTAATTAGATAAGGTTTTAAAGTACTCAGCACTTGCATTACTCGATTCTAACCTCAAATAAAAAAACAGTTCTGGATATTTCTGTGAATCGGCTAATGACGGACGACTTAGATGGGGCAATCTCGAACGTCCGCAATTACCCCTACATAGATTGATTTTTATCTTTTATTTAAAATATTTGTTTCCACCGGTTAACTGCGGTAGTTTTTGTTTTCTTGTACCTAACCTAAAATATTGTTTCAACAGACTCTTAACTGTTGTGTTTTAAATATGTATACTTACTTACTATATCTATTTTTAGATGCCACGACGTTACCAAAGGAAGGCTGAGACCAAATACAAATTAGAAGATTTAGAAAAAGCCGTTCACGATGTAAGGAACAAAATACTGTCGTTAGGAAAGGCATCTATTATTTATTCTGTTCCAAAAAGTACTATACATGACTATCTCAAGAAAGAAATAATAAATGAACCTAAAACTGGAAGAAAAGCTATATTTACTGATGCACAAGAAACTGAATTAGAACAACATATAATTAAATGCAGCAAAGTATTTTATGGCTTAACAATAGAAATGGTGCGAAAAATGTACCACGCAAAAAGAAGAAAGTCGATAAAGGAGCTACGACGGAGAAAGAGTATTATTGTCTGATTTGTGCCGAAAAGTATGAAGATCCTTCAGTTGAAGACTGGATTGAATGTCACAAATGTAGGTTGTGGGCCCACGAAAACTGCACAAGTGGTAAAAGCACTTCAAAGGGTTTTCTCTGTGATTTTTGTAGGAGTTAGACCACGTTCGTTAGCATCCGAGATTACCCCACACTGTGTCCGTACTTACCCCACGTGCTGTGGGGTAATCCCGGATACAAGGGTTTTGTTTTTTTGATACTAGTTGATTTTATTTTGAAAATATATCTACGTTAAGTATGAGAACAGAAGATTGATTAGTTTAAGTAAACTTTTGGCAATAAATAGTATTCGTAACTTGGTATGGTTTTGTTCTATTTCAATTTTCCCTTAAGTGTTCGCAATTACCCCACTCTCCCCTAATACAGTGAGTATAAACACACCTATTACTATGTAAGTAGTTAGTAATTTTACATGATTTTTATGTAATCTTTGATAACAGTTGGAGTTTAAATATTTATATACGCATCTACATTTTTATATCAGTAAGTATCTATCTAAAATCAAATAATTTCTGTAGTAAAAATGGTACGTTGCTATTATATAAATGGTACTAGCTATTATGTATGCTGTCTAGAGAGCCATAAAGTTTATGGAAGCTTAGCAATCTAACATTTAATTGCGCATTCAATTAAGTGTAAGTAATTGTTTCTTCAGATAATTTAGTAAGGACAGCCCTTTCAGCAACTACAATGTTTGTACTGTCATGTAAGACCCTAAGCGTAAGTGGCGCCACCTACTTAGCAACATTTTAGACATTAAATACTTACTGTACATTTTCGGTCTTCGTTTCTCTTCCAATGTTGCTTATTCTTCTTGGTTTGGGCCGAAGGCACCAGGTTGGTGTAGGGCTTCGTAGTCGGATTGAGCCTTAGCAGGTTCTGAAAACATTAAAAAAAAAATATTTACCTGCTTTCGTAATCTGTCTCGATACTTGTCACGTTACTATATTTGGTTTTCTACAAGAGACTTGCGGATGTGATTAATTATGGAAGAGCCATGCTTCGGCACGAATGGGCCGGCCCCGGCTCAAGCGGAGTGAAACCACGGCCACAAAGGAAACCGGCGTGAAGCAAAACTTATGTTGTGTTTAGCCGCGTGAGTGAGGTTCCCGGAGGCCCAATCCTTCACCTCATTCACTCAAACACCTCCGTCCCCATATCCTTAAATCCCTGATACCTAACCCACAAAATGCTGGCAACGCACTTCTACGGCAACGAGTAACTGCTTCTGTATTACGAGTGTCCATGGGCGGTGCTGATGGCTTACCATCAGGTAATCCATCTGCTCGTGTGCCAATTTATGATATAAAAAGATGGGCAGAAGTTAGTTACCTACCTTCAGTATGAAATTTCAAATACCATTAAACAAGGTTTGGCGAAAATTAAGCCTACAGCCTTTAAGATCATATCAGCACTCTTAGTATTATGAATGATAAGATTTAACCTTGATATACCTACACATGTAAATGCGTAGATATTTGAGAATATTTCTTATACGTCAGAGATTCAAAGATAGCTTTTTGACATTAACACAATAACGGGCGAACCGCGGCCGCGTTATCAATGTCTCTTGTTTGTTATGAAATGACCACCTAAAATTATGAACTGTTCTTATCACTGGGGAATATAAACTAACTAAGCATTATGTTGGATACCCTACCAATACTGGAAATTAAAAAGTTTAGATAGATCATGACTATTGGATTATACAGCTAGCTTCAATGGCGCTGGTAACTTAGGTAATAAAAACCGATTATACGACATGTTTTTCCCCGACGTGCTAAATAGAGGTGTGTAGGTACTTACACGGCCAGAACCTTCGCCTACTTTTCTTTACAATTCGTACATTGCAAAATGGTGATCAAACCTAAAACTACTCTTGATGTCACATAACATTTGTAAGGTAGGTAAGTACATACTTTTAAATTAATAAATTAGACAACAACCAACTGCTACAACTGCTTTTGTTTTTAGCATTTTTTTTCCAATGTAGTCCTCCGATACGCAATTGTACCTATATGAAGAATAATAAATAAATAAGAAAAGAAGATAGGATAGGTGATATTTTGGTAAGAACCGAGTGCCATCCATTGGCAGTCTTACCCAAACAGTTATAAGAACAGGGACCACTTTCAGCTAAACCGGATTTGGAAGTCAGAATTTAATATAGGCTGACTTTCCTTCCCCTATTAACTTGACCGTGACACATTCCAACGATGAGGTCAATGTATGTAATTAGCAAAAAACTAGTTTGCCCTACATGTGTGTAAGTTGTTAGCTCATTACGTTAACAAGTGGACAATAAAGCTTGCAACGCTCCAATGCTATTCGTCATTTCTTCATTTTGTACATGACTGTAGAACTGCATATTCCATTACCAATAATACAAAAGAACAATAACAATAAATGATTGAAAAAATGTCGTTATGAAATCCGGAATATGGAAAACTGTTCTACATAAAGTCTGTGAAGATATCTGGTTTTAATAATTTGTCCCTTTACGTATTCTGGCCTTGGCGCCAAACTAAAATTTGAACGTAGTATTGAGTGTGTACTTTATAATGTAAATTAAAACTTGCCATACAAGTTTGTGTTGATCTATTTATGCATTAAATAAAGTACCTGCGTACGATTCTTTGTGTAGGTGGATTATAGATGTGTTTAGTGTAAATGTAAAATGCAGAGAAGATGAAGTATAATTAATATTTTTTTTTATTACCAATGTTCGAACAATTGTTAATAATCTTGGTAAACCAAATAGTAGATACTTACGACTCGTTTATTTTAGCGATGAGATAACTATGACACAATGTCGATAAGAACATTAGTAACATTTTATCTTCGAACAAAAGATTAAAAACAAAAAAGAAATAACACCAACCTCAATATCAGGCAACTCCTTACTTAGAAGCACTTTCGACATTTTGTCAATTTTAACTTTATTTTTTCTGTTGTAAAGTTAATTTTTGGGCAACACGTTTATTTTTGTTGTTTTTATTTTTTCTCAGTAACAGACGCACGGGGACTGCTCACTGGCAGTGCCTCTCAAGCGACTGATTACAAAACGTTATGTGTATTACTATCTTCACTTGTAGTCAGTTTACGTTGAGCTCTGTTATCCTTTTCTAACGTGATAATTTGCTTTGACCGTACAGTGTAGGGGAAGGTCAAATAACAGTGGTGACAAAAGTTAGAAAATAGAGTTAGTATTTTGATCATTAGTGATTTTTCAAGACGATAGTTTCTCTTTCTAGACATTAGCACGTGCACATGCTTGTTATTTTCTTCTGATTCTGGTAAATAAGTAGACATATAGGTATGTTGCGTAGGAGTGCTTAGTTTAGCTAAATATGCGGAGACCTTGAAACACAGCTGTTGACTGCAATTTGTGAACTTTGTACTTTATTGTTTTATCATCTGTTTTCGATGCAACGGACGACAATCACGGTAACATCACGCAACAAATTAAATTAAATTGTACTAAGTCAAGAGGTGTTCCTTTTCAAAAAAACTCTAGCCCCTAATTGAAACGCCGATGATTTAAAACTTCAACATTTAATAGAATTTGTTTAAATTTGGTCCTAGCGAGGTAATAAAAGTACTACTTTATACCTACTTGCCATTATTTTCTGAGGGTTTTTTTACCCAAAAGGGATAAGCTCACCACAACGTCTCAAAACCGTTGCAACTCCTGAAGACAGGATCTACAGTAGATACAACCATGAAAACCCCGGCACACTGAAGTCTAGCGTATCCCAGAGACATGAATGATTGCCCTATACTAAAGTCCAGCGTATCCCAGGGACATGAATGATTGTCTTGGATACCACAACGATATAAATCAGAAGACATTATTTGAGGAGGGGAAGAAAATTATTATATCATTATTTAAAAAGGGGAAGAAATTAACAAATGGTTTCTCTAAACCAGCTCGTTCCTTCTCCTGTTCCGGGCCGGAGTCACGATACATTATTGTGCTTACCCTCGCAACTTCGACTGGACATGTAAATAGCTAAGTTGTACGTAGAAAAGTTCTCAGATTGAAGTCAATAGACAGGACAAATTCCTAAGTAGAACAGATTTATCAGTTGCGAAAAATATACTTAGTAACTACAAATCAACAGTTTATCTTGAAAGAAATCTTATTTTATCATCAACCAGCAACAAAACAATTAAGGTATAATAAAAGAATCTTTATTTTTATCTGTCCTCCACGTTTTAAGTACAATATTAAATTTCCTCGAGGTTTTCACGATATCTGTTACTAAGGTTGCGTAATTATTATCTTACTATCTATTATTTGTAATTGACGACAACTTTTATCGATGTAACAATTGCTGTTTTATATGAGGTCAGCTGTATTTACTTGATGTAATGTGTTAAGATCATGTGTATTCTCGAAATTAGATCGCGTGTGTGGTGAACACAAAAACTACTGAACAAATTTTGATGAGTTTTCGCTAATGGACGGATTTTGGATAAATATATGTTTGTGATGATTTCAGTACTGTACTGTACAGTTTGTCTTATAGTACTTTTAAAGAAACTTGTTATGAGACATCTTGATATGAGGATGTAAGAGGCTAATACCGACAAAAGCTACAAGTAGGATTGTACATAATAAATAAAAAGGATAAATACATAAATAAAACAAATAATATGAACAGTTAATATAAATATATTTTGAATTATTCAGAGGCTTTACAATATTTGGAAGAATTACTCGACAGCGTTATCTAACTATCAATACAATCGAATTATAGACACAGCACATATCTATACATATACAATTTTGTATAAAAATAATATTATACAAGCTGTTACTTGGAAAGCAAATGCAGTTCATGGCAAAGTGACTACATACCCAACAAATATACTACCAACAAGATGACAACTCAACATCGAAACAAATAAACGCGTCTAAACAGACATTACAAAAATTATATAAGAAAAATTTGGACTAACAGACATAGTAAATTATTAAACAATACTTTTATATATTCGTCTCAAGGTATATTTTTAGATTACATGTATATATCGGCTATATAACGCCTCCATTAATTTTACCCGTTGAAAAAATATTGCTAAATACTTTGTTTTCTTCACAAAATAATGTTATTATCGTATTTGATTCAGTTTAAAAATATTTTGTTGTTTTCTCGTCCCGTCGCTGCCTCAACACATTTCTTATATTGTTGGCCTATTATTAAAATTATATATTTTATAACTAGACATAATATAGTTAGTCCATTCAACCATAAACGTATTACAATACGAGAATACATAAAACCTACTTAGTAAACTTAATTTTGATTTAGCGTTAAATGTTCATACATTATGAAAAAAATGGATCTAGTATAAAAATGTAACACCAAAGTAAATGGCGTTTTTTATTTTTTGTATTTAATACTAAATTACCGTTATTTACATGCTGATTCTTCTAAATATTTGCATCTGAACAATACATACATTAAAATCTTACGGCTATGGATGTTCTGTGCAATTGTTCGAGCTTTTTATGATTTGGAAAAGAACGAAACCATTTATATAAATGTATTTTTTCGAATAACAAATAAATCTGTATGGCATCTAGACATACGGCGTGCCGCGTTCGGTGTCAAGCAACAACAATTGCACACTTAAACACAAACTTACGTGTACTGTTTCACTTATAATAAACATTTATATTTTAGGAGTGGATTTAGACAGTAATTAACTTAGTGCCATTTTATTTGCTAAAAGAAACGATCAGAGTGTCTAGTGCGAGTTGACTTTACGTTAAGTCAAAGCACGCGTTTATGACGTTCGGCGCTTTGATTGGCTAAGAAGTTAAACAACCAATCAGAGGGCTGAACGCTGTAACTGTCCAATCACATTAACGTAAAAATAGCTCGCACTTAGCACTCTGTAGTCTACGACAATCGTGAAGTTAGGCGTACAAGGTAAAAAAAGCTTCTCAATCTAAAGGCCGAGTAAAATGTCTAGACAGTCAATTAGAGCCTAAACCCGTTTATCACATTTTCAGCGAAAAATGCCTCCCGTGACAGTAATACGACCGAGTCGGGGAGGTCGGCGAGCGAGACGTTCGAACAGTTGTAGGCTGACCATCGCGACCCGGTCGGGTAATGCTAAAAGTAGTTGTGCGGTTTTACATTAGCCGTAGAAGACTAAACGTTTGCGATACAATATTGTTGCTTACTGAGAACTGCGCTAGGGACCATAGTTCCACGATTTATTACATGTGAAAGGACAGTTGGCTTTATTTTCCATAAGATAAGGTTCAAAACGGCAAATCTATGGCCACTAGCATCACAATGACGTCACGATAGCATAGCTACACTTTACCAACGATATGTATCTAAGTATTGACCATTCACGCGGCGCTTTTACTCTCAAGCTTTTAGCCAGTTTAGAGAAAGAAATCGCAGCAATGCAATAGACGGCTTAAAACGACCACGTTAGGTTCAAATTTGAATGTTAGATAAAATGCAACAGCTATTATCTGCTAGATGGCGTATTGGTCAAATATTCCTAGTTTTTCAATGAAAGCAGACTTTAGTATTAGTTTAATTGTTAAAATGTTACTATTGAATTAGTAAATGCAGGATTGTGTGCTTGGGTATTCGTTTTGTACAGTACAGTGGGTTCCCTTATTTAAGACATTATAATCTACGAATCACATCGAAGTCAATTTATCCCGGAAACTGCGTAGCATATTAACGAAATACAGTTTACATCATACAAAGGTAAAGGTACATATATAACGTTTTAATTAATTAAATATACAATGATACGAAACTTTAATGATTAAACATTTTCTTACGAACGAATGCTGTACTTATTACGCCACTAGTATTAGCCGACGACTCGTACACAAATTGAACCTTAACAGCAAGAAATAAGGACGAAAATGTATACGAGTTTATTTCGACATTAAAAACATTGATACAACAATGTGGAAACAAATAAAAAGCAATAATAAATCGAAAAATATAATCTCTGGCAAACACAAATTTCAACAATTCCATTTTTTAAACAACCGTTTAGAAGCGACCAAGTATTTTTGTACCCGAATATCATAGATGTAGGAATGTAGTAACATGTTCGTTATAGCAACGGTCAGGTTCACGATAAAGCACCCAGACATGAGTTATACTCGGATAAGACCTTACAGCCACTGACAGACGGTGGTATTATTACTTTATCAAACAATATACAATACAATAAAACATTTGCAATGGCGAACAGTGGCTAGAGGTAGAAATTCACGACAGTATTACCGATACAAAAAAAAAAAAGAATCCATAGACAACTGCGAACAAGTAGGCAAAGGACAAACTTTGTACAGCCTAAAACTGCCAGTGACGGGATATCCGGTCGATATAAAAAAGCGTTATACATAGAACGGAGCTCACTCACACCAACCCACGTTACATATTATAATAATGCGTACTTTAACAGTAGAAATTAACATCTATGTATGCATTTATTGCAGTCCATTTGATTACAGCGCTCGTGTTTAGCACATTGATACTGATGTTGGTGCTCTAATGTAAGCTATGCTGTAAACACTGGCATCCACGTCTGTACTACGCTATCTGTGGACAAACATATTATATCAACATTAGTAACATAGATATTTCATAACATAAATAACACTTAACTTAGGCAAACATACAATTTTTTGGAAATAATTAACAAGAAAGTAATAGAAAACAGCACAAAAATATGAGTACACATTACGTATCATACAATGTAGGTGCATTTAAGTCAGTATTAAAATGTCCATAAAAAGGAGTAGTCTACTAAACTATCCTGAACATAAATGAAACACAAACATTAATGAAACTTTCAAGGTTGAGAGTGACCCTTATCAATTAACCCTTAAGGGATAAAATATGAAATCAAAATAATTATACTTATGTATTTACATATTTAACTAAAACACCAGGGAGGTAAAGAAAACAAGGTTGTCCTAACTGCGAGCGTAAATCTTTAACATTATTGACTTAATTAAGATTCTAAGAGTGGGAGAACTATGCTTCGACAGGAATGGCCCTGCTCGCCTAGGGCGACCACGGCCTGAAAGAAAACCGTCGTGAAACTACGCTTGTGTTGTGTTTCAGTGTGTAAATGAGGTTACCAATGTCTTAATACCTCTCTCTTGCCATCCCCTATCCCCTATTCATCAAAGCCAACCACAAAAGACCGGCAAAGCAACTTGAATGTTTCGAGTATCCAAAGGCGGCACTGATTGCTTATCATAGAAAATAAATTAATATAATTATGTATATGTCATACGATAATTGTCAATAGAGTACATAAAAGTAGAAGTGTAAATCGGTGTTTGTGGTAACATACTCCCAAGGAGATCATATGATGATAATATTATAAAGAGGTAAAATTTGTATGTTTGTAAGTTTGTATGTAGGGTATCTTTGGAACTGCTGGTCGGATTGCCAAAATTCTTTCATTGATAGAAGGCTACAATGTTCTTGTGTGCTATAGGATATAAATTTGTGTGATATAAAACATCACGCTACGATTAAACGGAGCCGAGCTGCGGGTGAAACCGCGCGAGAGTAGCTAGTTGAAAATATTTTTTATGGGATAGCTCAGCAAACGAACATACGAGTTATATGATGGCAAGCAATCAGCGCCGCCCATTCACTCGCAACACCAGAAGAGTTACGAGTGGATTGTCAGCTTTTTTGGGATAAGGGTTGCGGATATTTAAGGATTGGAAAGGGATGGGGAGAGAGGGAGGGATTGGGCCTTCCGTAACATCAATCACACGGCGAAACACAAGCGCTGTGGATGTTTCACGTCGGTTTTCTGTGAGACCGTGGTATCACTATGATCGAGCCGACCCATTCGTGAAGAAGCTTGGCTCTCCCACACTTTTCTAAAAGGGGTATATTATCTGAATATTACCTTATCTGCGAGTGTTAGACGATCCTTAGAGCAGTCTACACTTCCGCCTTGGCTTGATAGGCTGCACGGGACACAGCACGGCACGGATGGCCTCGTCGAACACTGTCTTCAGCCCCTTCTGTGTCAGCGCCGAACATTCCAGGTACTTCACTGCGCTGATCTCCTTAGACATGCCCAGACCCTGGAATTATATTAACGATTGTGTTAATACGTAGCCAGAGCCGTGACGTGCTATTGGAGAGGGTTACGATGGTGCAGTAAAACAGACTAACTATGATAAGTATACTTCTATGACTAATTAATAGTAATTTGAGACTTTAAGTTGTACTGTATATTTTAATATCAGACATAAAGACCACATACCTATTATCTTTTTCCCCATTTTTTTAAGACGTTAGCCCCACACTAAGATTTTCTCCTGTGTGGTGGGTGGGCTTACAAACTATATTACACACACGCCCGTACACATCACACCCAGACCCGGTACAAATTGTGGAACACACAAAAAGTTGTTCCGTGCGGGAATCGAACCCGCGACGGTTAGTTGTTTTTTTTTTAAGACGTTGCGCGGCAGCCAGTTGCCCTGCCACCGCGTCGTGCAGTCAAATCATTTAAGGATGTTATGAACCTAACAAATTACACAAAACCTCTTATTACCTATGTTTTATTTAGATATTCCAAGAAATATACTCAATAGGAATAAAAATAAAGTATGATAGCCGTTTATTGTAATTTAAACCTCAACACCATTTACAAAAGTTTCACATTTGCATGTTAAGTACGTGGGCTAACGTTTGTAATATCCTGGGGGTGACAGGTACCTTCCCACCTCGTTATACGAGGGGCGGACGGTGTGAAAATATATCAAATGTCATACGAACAGAGGTTTATTTACTTTGGCACTATTACGAATGTTACTACAAGAACAAGTAGTTGTTTACTGTTTAATACTATGAATATAATAATATATTTTATTTTGAATACGGAAACATAATAACACCCTTTACAAGTCAGATGCCAAAAATTTTATAATAGCTGTGATATACAAAATTCAAAATGCATTGGGGAGGTTTTTTTCAGTATTCCTATTTAATTAATATGGTGATATTCTACATTAAAATACAATAATACGTCGTATGGTCTGGAAATCATGCTAGACGCTCAATAGTGTATATGTTTATCTGGGTCTCAATAATAAGTTCAATAAAATGTACTAACTAATATACATATACTTGCAACTAACTGTTTGTGTTTTTATAACGCTCATCTGCGGAACTACTGGATCGGATTGAGAAAATCTTTTTGTGTAGATTTAATTCGAGAAAAAGGTATTTAAAATAATATAAACACGTATTCTAAGTGTAATAAAAGTTCTAAAGCGTTTAGTATACCTGTGTGTAGGTAATGGGCGCGAGCTTCTTGTCCTTCAGCTTCTCAATGGTGTCCTTGTCTTCGCGAAGATCCAGCTTGGTGCCGACCAGGATGATGGGCGTCGACGGGCAATGATGCCGGACTTCGGGGAACCACTGTAATGTACACAATTATAAAATTAATAAGACATTTGATATGCAAAACAGCTTTATGGTTTTTATGACTATTTCCTTATTTGTTTATGCTTATGTATACAAAGTATTTGTAAATAAGAGTTGTACTTGGATTTAGATTTTTTTGTTATTAGCCAGTGTCCAACCGTGTTAGGCATGAATAATTCGCTTATATTACATAGAACTTATATCTATACTATTAAATATTATATAAAGAGGTTACATTTTTAAGTTTGTATGTTTGTAAATTTGTATGTAGGGGGTAATCTTTGGGGGTAATTCTTTCACTGATAGATAGCTACAAGGTTCCTGAGTGTTATAGGCTATAAAACATCACGCTATTATCAAATGGAGCTGAGTAGCTAGTAGCTTATGTAGCTGGTCAGATGTGGGTCATATTCTCATATCATCGAGGAAAATCAAAACAAGAGATATATAAATGTATCTTTTTTTTAAACTTGTACTTAACATTCTTTACAACAATATAATAAAACGCCAAATTCTTTATAGTCATAATTATGTTAGCACTCAGGTGTTTCATGGAAAGGATTACAGTATAAGAGTCGAGAACAAAGAACAACAATGCATGTGCAGCTGCTTTGTGCGTTGTTATCAATGCGCTGATTCGTCCACTTCCTAATTCAGTACGTTATGTATGACGTGACCAATTCAGTGTTCGGTAGAACGCTTCGATCAAAAGTATTCTTTGTTGACCTTTTGATCCAACGAAGTCTGATTACGTGTTATTTTTTTTTAATACTGAATGATCATGGATCCGATATATCCTAAAAAATCGTGAAGGCATCGATGAATTCAAAAGAAACTCCTAAGAAAGGGGCGGGAAGGCGTTGTGGCCGTCTTCGCAATCGTGATAAAGGTCTTTTTAATTCTATGCGGTTTAGAGATCTAGCAAAAGAAAAAAAAGCCAGTGAAGTACTTTCAAATATCTTCTAAGGGCATAAAAAATTCTCTTGGGATATATATTACTTTCTGACGAATTTCAAACTGTTTTCAGGACTCACCTTAGCTCGCACGTTTTCAAATGAAGCTGGGTTGACGAGCGAGAAGCATATAAGGAAGACGTCTGTCTGTGGGTAGGATAGAGGTCGCAGTCTGTCGTAGTCTTCTTGACCCGCCGTATCCCATAGTCCCAAGTTAATGGGTTTGCCGTCCACCATGACATTAGCTGAGTAGTTGTCGAATCTGCAAACATATGTAGCAAGATTTATAGTAACTGGTGTTTAATGTGATACGAATTGTTTTCGTAGAAATAAGTATGACAAATAGGCTTCGAACCTATTCCCTCCGTTTTACATCTGCACCAAATTTAGTTGCCTGAAGCAGGTACTGTAGCAAGTTTGTTTTTTGTGTTTCGCCGTGTGAGTAGGGTGACAGAAGGCTCAATCCTCTCTCCCCCATCCTCAATCTTCAAATCTCTAATAACCCAAAAAAGGCCGGCATCGTACTTGTAGTAACTCATCTGGTATTACGAGTGTCTATGGGCGCGCTGATTGCTTACCATCAGGTAATCCCCATGTTAGTGTGCCTACTTAAAATATAAAAAAATCTGGAAACCGCCTCTGACCGCCACCCGAAAACTGTATGTGGACCATCATTATAGAATGGCATGATATTCAATAATTAACTAAAACTCTCATTAAAATCACATAAGTCATAGCAGCTATAAAATCAATTTACGATCAACAGTACTGAGAATCACAACATCCAAATAAAACTGAAGGTTATCTAAGAAATTAAATGTATGACGAAGTGGAATTCGGCGGGGAAATAGGTCAAATAAATAATGGAGTATCTACGCAACACATAGACCATGTCTAAACACATCTTGAGGTAAAATTTTGTTTGACTAAGATAACTTCATTGATTAATCTTGCAAATTGTTGCCTGTAATTGATCAGTTTTAGATTAAAAGTGAATGTATACTTACACTGTAGGTATGTACTCTCCCGGGAAGGCATTTGTGGTGTAACTGATTAGTAGACATGTTTTACCGACGGCTCTGCGAACAAAAAGGAAAAACATTAAACATCGCCCCAAGCGCTGAAAGTAATAATATTAAACCACAACTAACTTCGGAGTTCGCTCCAATTTCATTGTGACAACCGTCATCATAAATCTCGCAAATAGGATGAGATTATGAAGAGAATAAAAGCCAACAAAAACTTTTTAAAACGGAAATTGCAACCTCATTTCAAATCATAATGAGATTTTTTAATCAGGCACAAATTCCGCGCTTAAATTATTTTCATATATGGAACGTAGATATATGAGTGTTTAACTACTTTCAAATTAGTGAAATATCTGTACGCTGCCAGTATTTTTATCGTTAAAAATAATAAGGCAGTGTGGCGTCTCACACTGACCCAAAGAAAAAACAACACTCGAGCACGTTCTTGCGTGCTAAGGATGAAGGATGTGATAAGTTGAGTGGACACCACATGCCACTGCAAAAAATGCAAAAAAAACCTTGGCATCAGCGCAGAATACTAAACTAAAAAGATTGATGTTGGAAAAGTTGCAGTTAGCTATTCGTGGCTTTAGAAAAATATACAAACGGAAATGTTTACACGTGTTGTGCAAGAATACGTAGACTTGCGGTAAAAAGAGTAAACAAAAACAAACTGATACATAAACTTGCTTGCAGAAAAAAACATTACAGAATACAGTTACCATAATCCAGATTATAAAATACCGTACAATTTGTTGTACTGTTATAAATAGCCAACAGTGTTTTTGCAACACATCGTTGTCCTCTATTCTCGGCCACGTCTAGAGGTCACAAGTGCACAACATAAATTGGTCGTATTATAACGATCGCTAATATTCCGCCCTCGTATCGTGCCGAGTACGACATCCTGTCAGATATTCCTGGCTAGGGAATGTCGATGTCGATAAACTCGTTTTTGTTTTAATATTCAAGAACATTTGTTAATTGTAAGATTCGTTATGTAGATAGTGCTCATATGGTTTTGCAAATATGTTATAATTAAATATTTCGTAGAAGAATGTTAATGACTTTCGCTTACTACATTCTATGTTACGTGTATATTTCATTATTATCATTATCACGATAGTCTCGATTCTGAGTAACGCTATCTGAGTAATTTGTAAAAGCTCTTAATTACCTACGTACTGTATAAATATTCTTATCTCGTATACAACTACAGTATACAATGATAATTCAAAACATTATGAATCACTGTGTGTAACCAGTGCGAACCCTGGCGAATGTAAAGAAGGAACGTCGACTGACCGCCCATAACCCTCGACCCGGCGCGTACGCATCTCTACAGCGATCGCTCTTCATTCCACAAATGAATCACGTTGCATAACAGGCTGCGGCAGCCTGGAGGAAATATTGTACATGGGAACATCTGACCTGCAATTGTTAGTCATCGTCTAATAGAAGCAAAAATCATGCATCGTAACTGTGTATAAATTACTAAGTGCTTTTATATTTGTGTAGCTAATAGTATGTCTCACTAAACGTTGTGACAGCAGAATGATATATTTTCTTCCTTAATGCTTTCTGAGAAGATTTGTATCAGCATTTGACAGACATTATCGGCGATCTATGGGGAGATATGACCCACATTGTATTACTTTTAGCGAACTGCGAAAGTCTGCTTTGTTCATGATCAATAAATAAAATTGGCGAGCTAAATAGTATAAAGGAAACTACGAATAAAATATATATCTGCAGTACATAACACTGGTCAACACTGGTTTTGCCACACGAACTTTGATAGCTAATTATGTTTTATCAATCTACCCTCATAATTAAATCACAGTTGCCATATGTCAATTAGCCTCCTATTTTTTGTGATACGGTAATACTCATTAACTAGTACTACGGCAGTAAATTAACAGAAACGCTTACAAGTTAATCGTTATAAAAATATTTTTCGTTGAATTTGAACACTTTTTTGGGATTTATTAACCCTGTGAGCATGTCAAGGAAGTGTATTAATGATCCTAACTGTTTTTGTTATGTCTACGGAGAACTTACATTCAAAAAACAACGACGAAATTTTACAAATCTTGTGATGGAGTGTTATCACCAATGTTTTGGTTTTTCTGTCGCCCATCAAGACAAATCCTGGGCCCCTCGTGTCTGTTGCATAACGTGTGTGAAAAATTTAACTGACTGGAAAAAAGGTGCACGACCTATGCCGTTTGCTGTGCCCATGATATGGACTGAACAGCGAGATCACGTTTCAGATTGCTATTTTTGTCTTACTGACGTAAAAGGTATAAATTACAAGAAAAAAAACACAGTTATTTACCCTAATTTATCTTCGGCTACAAGACCAGTCTCTCATTGTAAAAAATTGCCAGAACTAATACCAGTTGCAACTACGTCTGTTGAGAACGACAATTCACAACCGTCTACTTCAAGTGTAAGTGATGCAAAGATAAAAGAGGGTATTTTTGTTGGCCCTCAAATTAGGGAGTTAATAAAAGATTCAAGTTTTGAAGAAAACTTAAGCGATTTAGAAAAATCAGCATGAAAGTCTTTTAAAAATGTTGTTGCAAATTTTTTGGGTAACCACAAAAGTGACAGCTACAGAGAGTTGGTTAGCGAGCTGTTATTGTCATATCAAGCATTAGGTTGCAACATGTCACTTAAGATCCATTTTTAGACTCGCACCTGGATTTTTTTCCTGACAATTTAGGGGCTGTCAGTGACGAGCACGGCGAGAGGTTCCATCAGAATATTTCTGATATGGAAAAGCGGTACCAGGGCAAATGGAGCCAAATATGTTAGCAGATTACTGCTGGACAATTAAAAGGGACCAACCAGAAGCTAAATATTCAAGAAAATCTTAGATTTTCTAAGTCATTTATAAAAAAATAAACTTTTGATTGACGAGATCCGTATTTTCTCTTAATATTTTAAATTACTCAATAGAATAAAATCTTTGTCTAGCAAATTTTTTTTAACTGTTTATTTTTTATTACAATCACCAATTAAAGTAAAAAATATCAAAAAAGTCCATGTGGCACGACAAAGTTGAAATTTTGTTGACCAGTGTAATTAAATGTCTCCAATTTTATTAACGACTAGCTACTCTCACGCGGTTTCACCCGCTGCTTGGCTCCATTTAATCTTAGCCTGATGTTTTATAGCCTACAGCACTCAGGAACATTGTAGCTACCTATCATGAAATAATTTTGGCAATCCGACCAGCGGTTCCTAAGATTACCCCTTACATACAAACATACAAACTTACAAATTGTACATCTTTATAATATTAGTAAAGACAGTATAGATTTAACTGCCATTAAAGTTGACACGGACTCGTCTTTTTAAACAACAACGAAAGTAAACTAACGTGCTACTTAAATCTCTGTCATAACAAACATAATACAAAGCTATTTAACCAAAACGTAATAACGTTTAAATTAAAACACAAAATTATAAAGACAAAACGTTCCCAAAACATTACAAAGAATATGACGCCTCGATATCAAACAAATAAAGTCGATGCGTCAATAGCATTACGATTTGATAATATCTGTACGGTTCGTGACTGAATCATCGTCCATGACTCAAAGAAGGTCAAGAAAGCAAACATTATTCGGTAAATGTTTGGTCCGTCAAGATTTATTTCGTACAATATTTCCAGCAATAAAACCGTGGGAGTTGTCGCCCCATGGGCATCCTTGTTTGTTTTCTCGCCTTAAGTTGGGAGGTTAGTAAAGTAACCATATCGCATTAATCTTTCCGGTATCCGGGCCGCCTTGTTTATAATATAAATAAACAATAAAAAAATACTTAGCGATATGAATGTTTTAAAGACTCTTTTATTATATCAACAACATTCCAAAATGATGTTTGTAGTCACAATACCATAGATAAGTAAAATAGGAATATTTTCTTCCTTTAGTTATTGGAGGGCTTCAGATAATATCTCGCATCGTTTACAACACATGTCCCACAATGTCTGGTGACATGTTAACCATGTGTGGATTGTAGAACTCGCTCAACAAACGCGTTAATTCGCCTAGGAGATTATTTCCGCGTGATATGGCGTTTCGCGTATTTAGCATACAATTAGTAGCTAATTCCAGTTAAGGTCATTTCAAATACTCAGTTACTAATGATACTACGCAAACTAATTACGTGTAATACATATGAAACCTACGTTTAATTAATAAATAACACTGAGATTTCCGCACAAAAGCAAGGAAAGAACAGACTTCTAAAAACTTAACACATTTCCTGCAACACGGTAAAATTGTGAGGATATTTCTGTCAGAAAAATACGAGTTTCATTACAGAACGAGGGCGCGTTACAGTTGAAGAGTAGGGCTGTCGCGAAATCAAAACACCGCGGGAGAGTTACTCGAATTTTATAAATAAACCGAGTAACTGAGGAGTTATGGCTGTATAAATACATGAAGTCATTCATCGTAATAGCAGACTGTGAAGAAATATACGAGTTTTATCTGTCTACGAGTAGACGGGAATATTTTTGAAGTTGACATGTTTTCACTCATTGTATAGTAATTGTAAATGATTTAGAAGAATTGGATCGTTCGAGATTATATCTATCATTATCATATAGGACGAACATGTTTTGAGGAACAAACTACAAAATTACCAAATTTCAGGGAATTACAAACCGTTACAGATTTCCAAGGATTTGTACGTAATTTAAGAAATGCTCTAGCTATTTGCAGTAAAGATGACGTTGAGATAGCCTTGGTTTTGTTTTTTAAGTGTTTTCCCAGTAAAAATATCTGCTGCGCTACTGCATAGGATCTCGGTTGATGTTTAGTGAATAATAATGTAGGTGTTACGAGAATATGTTTCACTTCATCGAGCATAGGTTTTTCAATGGTTATATAAATATAACCATTGAAAAATCAGCCCTTAGTCGACAGCACAGCACACAGTATCATAATGTTTGTATAAGACAGTGACAGCGACAATTTTATTCCTCAGATTACATTTATGAGACTATTAAAAAATCAACACTAATAAGTAAAGAG